TAATCGTTTACGTTCTCCTTTTAAGAGCCAGGCCGGATAACGTTCCGAGATGCGTTTAGACAATGAACGCTTTGTGCGGCCTATGTAACGTGCTCCACATGAACAAGTAAATTTATATGTGCACATTGATGTGGCCTAAAACGGAAGTTTGTCTTTAACACATCCCAAAATGGTAGGTCGGCTAGAGAAAATGATTCGGAGCTTAGCTGCGTAGAATGTTTTATTCAAAGATTTCGAAATCCGTTTATTTAGGATTTCAGCAGCCCATAAATTTTGTTCTTCCTTACCCCTTGATTAGTACGTTAACCCCATTTGTTATTTATTCTCGAATCGATTTTTTGATACCATCCTTTCTATCCTCTAACAGACATACATTTTCCATATAACTGTATATACGAATGTACAGCTTAAGTAAATGATTTCGTCGAAAAGAAAATTTTCTTCACTGAATTCTCTTTTTCTTATTCGATGACATTATGGGTTATTTTAATTTGCCAATTTCTTTATTTCTCTTTTATCGTTAATATACCTAGGTTCTTGCCTGAAGGTATTGGTGGTCTACTGCTACTGGACACGGAAGCCTGTTAAGCGAAAGCTTCTTCTATTCCATCCGCAACAATTTGAATCTAATTTAAAATTTAATTGAGAACCAGGAAGCAATGGGTAACCCTTCTGTCCTAGTGTGGGGCTTTTCAATAATCTCTTTTAATGTTTATATTAGGGAACGAACTAAGGACATTTGGGTCTTGTCAGATAGGCTTGAAGTGTAGGGTTGTTGTCTATATTCAACAAGTCCATACGCTCGCATCCTCATTAAATATTGTGTCAATAAATAATACTCCTGTTGCATTTAGTACGGATATATTCAGCGTACATAACTGATGTATAAATATTTGAGATACGCTGTCTGAAAGACACTGCACATTTCAAATTCAGTCCAAAACAATCCAGACTGGAATAGTGGGATCCAGTTCCGGATTTATTTCACTGTTACACACATTCTGGATGATCTATTGGCAGTGTTACTTCATTTTACTATATTTGCTGGTGTCTCGAAATACCGGCCCCTCTATAAATTGAATCCAATCGCAAAAAGGTCTAATTTGTGTTGATTCGATGCTACTGTTATTTCAATCCAGTTGAATCCATTTTATCCTATTGTACTCTGAATATTTATTACTACTGTATGTGCTAGTTAATTAAATTACTTAAATATATGTTCAGAAGTATCTGTATTCTTATTCCCTTTCATTCCATTTGTGTTTTGTCATCGACTATAAAGAGGACAAATAAAAAAGCTGCACAGGAAAGTTCAGGCTTCGAAAGCATTACTACAGAGTGTGCTTTATTTGTTGTTCTTTGAGTTTCATTTCAGGACACTGCCTTTTACCATGTGAGTGTTGGGATCTACATTTATAAAGATTGTTCCCAAACTTTCTGTCTTCATTTGATGCTTTTTTTGGAAGCCTACATTCTTATTGCAGTCCAAGGTCTCCACTGCTCTCTGTGCCTCTCCTGAGGTTCGGAGGTTTTCATAATCTGGCCAACATCTGTCTTCTTGAACGACTTTGCAATCTAGTCTCATGAACGTGTTCTGGATATTGATGAAAATCTACTGAGATAACCCATGATGTTGGGGGAAATTCCAAAGGGTTTTCCCATCCATGTGTGTGTCCCCGAATGCCCTGGTACGGCCGAGAGCGGGAAGAGTCAGCTCTCCCTTTCGAAATGATCTCACATGGCCACGCGTATATAGCCTCTGCCAGTGAAGCCCAACTCACTGCCTTCTCGTGACATTACTGTTGTTAACGAAATTGAGAAAACGAAAAGCGAATGTCTGGTGCTCTAACCGGGTTGGTGGACAGGAAGAGTCCACCTAGGGGATTTGGGAAACCCTGATTCCAAACAAATGGTGCATATCGGCTCCAGTATCCTGAAGGAACGAACGGCGCGTGAACCAATCGTTGGTTAACAGCTACCATGGGACTTTATATCCTTACGTTGGATGCCGACTCAGTAGGATGAAACCGCAGTGCAGTGCATCCAGTTTCCCGCGGTTGCCTGGCCTTAATTGACTCATGAATTCAACTGTTATCTTGATTTGCCTGGTGACCTTGGTAATTTGTTCTATTGTTGGTGTGGTATTACTTAATTAACTTTCTGTGTGTATCACATCCGTACTTAGTGGGCTCATTGTAGCTGAAAACAAAGATGTGTAGTCGCTAGCAGTGGAATCCAGAACGCGCGCTTCGTTCTATTAGGGAATCTTTAGCGGGATTTACCCGCGTCTCAGAATTTATGTTCACTCTTGGAGTCGGACCCAGCATCAATCGCTTCAAACGCCATCGCGTTGTCCACTTAGCTACTAAGTCTTGAATCAAATAAATAATATCATGTGAATTCATAGTGCTTAGTTTACTCGAAGTGCTTTACCAACCTATTCCTGAACCAAAGTAATTGGATCTTTATAAGTGTTTCTGACAGATATTTTTGTTCTAGCCAGCTTCTTGATTTATTTCTATGGTTCTGTCCTACTTATTTCTCTCGCTGATATATATTCTACGGATTCCGCTTTTCAATCTCATTGCTCTTCTTCCTTCATCTTTTGGATTCTGTATCTGTAGAGATCCATCGTTTGTGCTGTTGATTATTGGAGCTCAACACTCCTGGAAGTTTGATTCTTTTGCCTGTCAGATATTTTTCCAGTAGCTATCCATATCAATTTTCTCATTTTCAAGTAGATACTGTAAGATTTATGTTCGGTTGTAGAAATCTTTCTTAAACACATTGAACAGTTTGGTATTTCAAAGGATGTCTCTGTTAAACTTTTGCATTGCCGCTCATCCAATCGTTCAGTGTTGCTTCACATTTAAACCAGTACTTGACGCTTCCGATTCCGATGAGATATCCTTCAAGCCAATGTACATCGTTAGCTTCAAACGTGTTCGATGTGTATCCTATCTACTGTCAAAATTTTTTGTTTTTTTAGAAACTATCAAATCAAAATCTTTTGAGATTTGGGTAGATTTTAGCCACATTCTGTCAGATGGCCTCTATTCTTCGAATAACTCTTGATGGATGAATCTTCAATGATAAAGTGCTAGCTCGACAATTACGATTTGGGACTTGCATGAGAAAAGTACACAAAGTTACAAGTATTATGTGACTGATAATCCTGTCTAACTTATATCCACACTACGTATGTCATATCGGTATATAAAAAAAGGAAGGTGACGTTTTTCCATAGCATGTTATTTTTGTAAAGGCTAGTTTTCAAGATTTAGATTGCGATAATGACCAGCATTCTCCCGAAGACTATACACCTTTCAACTCACCACTACCACTCAGTTAATGAGAATAACGTCGGTTATCTAAGTATTCTGCGTTTCAAATAACTTCGTGCTATAAGTCTGTGTATTGCGAGACGACAGATGACATCGAGCTAACAATCACAAAAAATGCCGCTTTTGTTAAGTGATACACAGGCCGTTTACCAGGTTCGATGTTTCCGAAATTCCGTGACAGTCTTATTGATGTTGCTGGATAACTAGCACTTTGCAAATAGACTTCTGTCAAATACATGGCAACGAATGAAGGCGAAGATGGTCAGTGTAGATTCAGCCTCTAGAACAGTAGCCCTCAACACACGTTTGAAAGAACGAACTTCTATCACCCTAAAAAATTACTAAATAAATCATACTTTGTTGAGAAGCTTTGAAAGTGGGGTTAAATTTGGTGTAAGTAAAGAGTATCATTGACAATCGAAAAGGATTTGATGCAGATATGAAGCAGTTGATTGAGAAAGTAAGGAAAGCATTCATAAAGTGAAGAACATTTCGCACTCCAAACCACTTTTAGCAAACACGGAATTCATTATTATGAATAAGAACGTCAAGACAGTCCTACTGTGCGCATTCGAGACCTGGACAAGTCGCATGACCTTTATTAGAAAATGAACAGGTATTTACAAAGTGTTGTCTACTCAAGACACTCCGAATTTCTCGACCGTACATTGTCACCGGTGACATTCTGTGACAAAGAACATACCATCTTCCAGCTGGAGATGAAATCAGGGGAAGATGTAGAAGGTGCATAGTTCACACTTCACTTCATCAAGAGGCAGGTCCCAGCCAGGAATTCTCATGGCTAAAAGAAAAGCAGGACATCAAAGAACATATCACGGCGGGTATGGTATGTAGATATCAAAGGGATGATTAGCTTTTGAGAACAAACTGGTAAGATAATCCGGGTACAGAGTGGGTTGTATATACTCTATCCGTGGCCAATGTCTTACGAGGAGTATTAAGCGTAATTAGGTAGTTTTAGTGATATTAGATTTCATAATATCAATAATCAAAAGTTGGGGGATGTTTACAAGGTACAGATTTCCGGATGAAAGACGACGAACTATGGCTAGACATATACCTTGTTATCAAGCCTCTTCATAAAGCTGTGCTCTGAGGACGCAGTGGTCACATAGGCTGAGATTGTTCTTGATCGGGCCTAATGATAATGTAACCTCGGTTAGATGTTTGAGCATTGTTTAACAATTCCTCAAAAGTTACTTTGCGAGGCGTTATAATTTGGTCCAAGCAGAATGTTATTGTTGGGCAGACGTGCGGTACATATTAGATTTCATACGATTATCATAACACCTCTAATTCTTGTTTGTTCCAGAGAGCATAATCCAAAGCGGAGAAACTTACCCTCATTAGATTTTCCGCAAATCTATAAGCTCATTCCGCAAACGTAAATTAAACATAATTTACCAATATAAAATCTGATTAGGCAAGATAATAAATATGTTCATAATTTCTTGTGTGAATACTGTTGTATACATTCAACCAATAATTTTACTTATAAACCTTTTAAAGTACGAGATCCATTGCACATGTCTTTTCACGCCTATGGAGGACCGACGAAATTTCAGATCTGTGGTATATTCGGTTCACTGCTTGTGGTGTACAATATGTGTGTATAAAGGTACCTATCTAGCGCTTGTTTCAGATATGGCGCAACTCAATGCATAGGAGTGAAAAGGATAAACGGTATGATAGACAGTTGAGGCTATGGGGTGATCATGGGCAGTTTGCACTTGAGTATGCTAAGGTGTGTCTTTTGAGAGCTGAAGGTTTGGGGGCAGAAATATTGAAAAATTTAGTACTTCCAGGTATTCCTATACTTACACAATCCGAAGCATTCAGGCGTCGGCAGCTTCACAATTATTGATGATTCCTATGTAACTGATAAAGATTTAGGAAGCAAGTAACTCGAACGTTGTATCATATACAGTTTTAGTTTCTTCGTTACAGAAAATCATATTGGAAAGGTAGTTACACCACATTCCATTGCAAAAAACTTCTCAGGCAAGGGCGCAGGTTGTAACAGAGTCTTTAATGGAACTAAACGACGAAGTCAATGGAAATTACTTGATCGAGGTTTGTATTTATACGATATATCTCTAGAGTTAACAGGATGTTCGCGATTTGTTAGAGAAGGACCCTCAAATTTTCTTATCCTTTGATGTTGTTATCGTAACAGATGCCAGAGAAAAGTGAGGATTTGCATTCGTTAATCTGTCGAATTTGTTTTTTAATAATGACTATGATCTACGACGGTATTAGGGTCGGCAATTTCCTCTGTACACTTCACAAATATTTAGGTTACTACCTCTACTACTTTTATATTTGACCGATCTCTCGCTGCTTATAGCCTATTTAAACCTAGAGCAGTGTACATATGTGCTAGGTTTCACGTCACGACTGACTGGTCCGTAACCACCACTTTGTCGTTCTTCTTGTGCACATACAGATTTTTATCCCATTCTTATGTTGCTCTATATGACATTCAGTTTGTCAAAAAAATTGGGTGATCGCTTTTGAGCTGACCTGGAAATGTTGGGTTAAAACAGTTGTTTTAATCCATATGGTTCGTAAATTCCCCTAGAGAATCAGTGTTTAGAAAACTCGTGGTAAACCAACTGATCTTTTGTACTTATCTACCCGCTATACGAGGTTCATTTCCCGATGCAATTATTTTATGTTAGGGATATTATATATTTTCAATTCGTTTTTGGGCAAATTATTTGGCAAAATGGTAAAAAAAAACGGTTGTCCTTGCCTCATTTTGTACCAATATGTGCAAACTATCTCGTCATTTTGTATGTTGGGTTTTCTGGTGAGTTCAAGATTAGTCAATTGATTACCCGTATTCAGGACTGGTCATTTTTCCTGTGGCGTACATGCTTATGTATGGATTGTGTATACCGGTGAGTAGATCTAATAACTTTTTGTACGATGTATCGACGTTCCCATACGTATAAAGTATGGTGCGCGACCAGAAAACCTGAATTTTGAAATTTTGTTTTTACATGCCGAAATTCCTCACTCTGATGGAAACAGCAACTCAAATCGATAAACATTAATATTAGTTCCTCGTTGACTGACTAGAAAAATATGTTGTGATTTGATCCCTAATGATCGATTTTCAGCAACTAAGTCTCAGGCACAATCCTTGCTCTACTTATTCCGGTTTAAAAATCCGGGTTGCACAATTACTCCTCACACTTAGAGTATGACATATATTAAGTATCTGGTGAGTGGTTCAGTTTAATTATTATTTTTTAAATAAAAAAAACACACTCTACAGTGAAACGTCTGTTTTTAAGAACGTAATTGTATTTACCGTCCATTAGTAGCTAATATCTAGCGGTTTCTGTTGATTCCATATGATCACATAAGTTGGATTGTCTGCGTTTACTATTAAGGACAAACTTATCCATCGTTAACAGTTTCAATAACTTAATTTAATAACAGGTGTACTGCCTTGCTCATTCCTCTACTCAAGTGACCATTTCTCAATGTCTTGAATGTTTTTGCAATGATAGTGTAATTGCTCCGGAATATCAGAAATTACTTGGTCACCGTCAGCCTGAGTATTACTGATAGAAACTTACACAATAGCAGTTGTAGTTGCATATTCAAATTCACGAGCAAAAATTTTGTTTCACTTGTCAGATGTTTGTAGGTTTTTCTTGGGAAAAATAGTACATTTGTATTAAAAATTTTACCACTGCGTTTAGTGTTATGACAAAACTCTGATTCAGTGATCTACACCCTTAATCATGAGTTCTCAGGTTCAAGATATTTCCACTTACCTCAATCCGAGCAGCATGATTGTATCTTCAGCTCCACAACAATCATAAAGCTGGTTGAGCGCATATTAAATGAGTGTATTTCTAATCTTAGAGTATGGATTGATGTCTAATTAATTCGTTATCATTTCTTACATGTATTGGTCGTGTTAGTAATGTGACAACCTGAAATAATCCTGTTCAGTGTTTGCATTCAAATGGGTGAGTAGCTGTAGAAAAAACAAACTATGACTTCATGGTACTCTTGTCACGTCACAATTCAGTATCCGAAGATGGAAGTTATAATCATATGATTTTTGAGTAGTGTGGGATTTCAGAGTTCATCAGAATATCTGTGTTGGATCTTTGTTTAAAATATCACTTAACCAATTTGTAGAATAGTAATCTCAGTATAAATTTGAATAACTAATACAAATGTACATGTTGTTTTGTTGATAGACTACTAATTCGTCTCAGTCAGCTTCTGAGTGGTACTTCTATCACTTTGGTGGTATGCTTCAGCATTGGTGTCATTGGATATTTAAGAATCTGCCCTCCTGAACATGTGATAGTCGAATCACATCCAGATTCCTATTGCCCTGATCTAAGACTTGATCGACCATTTCCTGATTTCGTTAAAATGGTAAACGAAGAACCGTTAGAAGAAATGACATCTGAAAAGCTTTGCCATACACCGTGGCTCATAATTGTTTATGTTTTTCTGCAGAAGTTTATTTCTGTAGTAAGTTTTACTGCTGTCGGAGAGTCGTTTTAATTTTAATATGTGATCAGTATCTTCAGTTTCTGTTTCGTTTGTCGCCAATATTGATGCATTGGTGATATGGCTCAGATTAATCATAATGGCATAGGTACATTCACTCTTAGACTCCCGTCAAATTTTCAGTCCAAAAATCGTTTTTCTTTCTATGCTTAATTTTTTCCGTTACCCCTAATATTTTTACTACTTCAACTAGTACAAATACGTGCCGGATTCAACATTGCGTATGACTGAGTGACTGGTGTACTACTCATTTATTTCGTGTCTTCAAGGTTATGTCTGACATCACATCTGTTGTAATGATAATTATTTTCCAATCTGTAGCTTATGTTTATGCATCCTTTTTTTGCAGTTATTTAGCCAACTTGCAAAAACCCTTTGGGAACGTTGATAGGACTAGCTTTCAATTAGTTGCACTATTCATTCGATCATTTAAATATTCATGTAGGAACTAAAAATTAAGTTCACTATGCGTTTTGTTAAAGAAGAGTAATTTCATCATTAGATATGTAAAATCGTAAACTGGAATGATTAAAGCATATGTTAGGGAAGGTTTAATACCATCTGTCTCACTCAACAGACTATCCCAGGTAGATCAAAAATTATCTCAAGATTATGAGATCAAGACTTCGTCAAATTATGAACTTTCTAACTATCGATATAAGCTGTGTTGGAAAGTGTGAACCCTATAAGATGTCTGTTAACAAACCTAGATTATTTAGTTTAGACTTTAATTTAACTTAATAACTGCTGTTTATGGCTAACGTTTCATGATGTTTTATGGTTAATGTCTTCTTAGCAAGGTTATTTTTACGGGATGAGGTTGCTAATCTAAGGCCCAACTGTCCCCTTTTTTTCGGGACTAGTGTCGTCAGTAACCCTTGAGGGGCTTTAGGTGGAGGTAAAAAATTTTGTATTCCTGCAAATCATAGACATCTCTTTATTTTGCAACACTTATTTCTTTTGTATAAGGGTTTTCTGTTCTATTGTTTTTATATCTCTGTACTACTGTTAGGGTCATTACTTTCAGTTGTGTTGATTTCTCTAGTAGTTTTACGCAGTACACAACTACTCTAGGTCCTTTGCTATTTCTGTTTGTTAGTAAGTAAATAGAATGCTAATCTGTAAATGCTACAGACAAAGTGTAGGCATATGAGTTTAGTGTCGTAAAGTTAACAAGTTTTTTTAACCCGGATTTTGCAGGCTCGATATTTTAAAAATTTTATCCTCTACCATTGAATCACTGATTAAAATTTTTCAAACTATTTTGGTTTACATAACCTCGTAGTATGTTCAACCCTTAACAAGCATTGATTAATGGACATACTACAAAGCTGTAGTTAGTTGGATAAACCTCAGGGTCATCTGGTGATCATATGAAAACGAATTGTCAAGTTATTGATAATTGGTGTGAAGTACTATTGTATTGATTGCTGGTGATATTATCTTATGTTCCACTTCATTTCAATTTACTCTATTTTAGGCAGTTAATTGAGTCACCATTTCATTGGACTAGTCTCTCTGTTCCAATATCTTTTTTCTATATAAAAGAACACTACTTAATGTAGTGTGTTGTGGTTATGTAATTGTCCCACTCACTTATTTTCCATTTTTTTACTCCTACCTTTCTCAGCACGGTCATTTCCCAAGAAACCATAAAGAAAAGGCAGAGATTAAAGATATGATTTCTAAAGGTAACCACCCATTATTCGTCCGTCTCTATTCCATTTCTATTGTATGTTATTGTTACTTAAATGTTTCCATAGTCTTAACATTTTCCCTTAATGATAACTTTAAGTTGCGAAATGTTAAGCCTTAATTTCCCTAGACTATTGTCTGGACAGTCATCTCTTAACTCAGCCAGTCAGTCATAAGCAATATAAAACCTGGCATATGTGGGGCCCATGATCTAACTCCAAATAGATCGTATGAATGATTGTTATCGCCTATCCTCGTATTTAATCATTAACTTAAATCGCGTTAGTTAATAACGGAATTAAATAAGTCAATTAACGAGAATGGACTTTTGAATACGTATATTTGTACACGAAGCGAACGGAACAGAGAGAAGAGAAACGACGCGTAGTTGAGTTGGCTGGTAAACCAACTCCCCTTTTAACCAAGCGTTAGTCGATATTTATAAGCACACAAAAATAAGTTACAGACATGTGATGAGTAATGGGATAAGATGTGTACACCCGCCTACGCGCTCATATAAAAACAGTCAAGATTGATAAGCGAATCATTAGCAAGGTCAGAATGTGACTCAAGTAGAATGGATATAATGACATGTCCGAAAGTTAGAATAAGGTATTTGGGCTTAACATAATAACAGATACTACGCATATATGTACATCGACCCAGTTCGCCACACCATGTAAGTACAAAAGGGAGGAATTTTAAAAGTAAATATCAAGATAGTCATAGTATCAGCTTAAGCAATCACTCAATTAGGTGTTAGCAGTTCAAGAATCGACATCCGAATAATGTACATTCATGTCGATCCATATTGACAGCAACCACACTGTCTCTGATTGTGCTGTTTCCTAACTTATACAGCGAAAGGTCGTGAAGTTTTCACAAAGGCACCTGATTAGGTTGTGCAATTAATTAACATAATGATCCGTTGAAACAAACAAAAGCAGATAACGTTGAAATATCTAGATGGCAGGAACAGGTAGCCCAGGTTTGATTCGTCGATTTGAACTAAACATAATTATCATCGAACTCTTCACCGATATTTCACTGATAAAGGATTCCTACTATAATCGTGAAGTGATAATGAATGATATACAGATATCCCTCTAAGAACCGACATAAATGTCCTTGGTGCCGAAGCTTGTATGGTCACCATTCATTAATTTCTTGATTACATAGATATTATTTAATTCAGTCTGACAATCCAATTGATGTCACCATCTTGAAACACCGACTTCGGTGGCTTGGACATGTTCTACGAATGTCGTCCCAGAGAATTCCACGTCGTGCATTATATGCCGACGCTGGGATTGGTTGGAAAAAGCGGAGAGGTGGTCAGTGTATGACATAATGTCGTGGTATGAAAGAAAGCTGCAAAGGGCTGGCTTGTGTTGGTCCTTCACGACTCCCTGGCTGGGGTCCGAGAGATAGTGTGACACATTGGCTAGAGACGTTATCAGATATGGCTCAGAATAGAAGCCAGTGGCGATCCTGCTATAACCTTTTTCTTTCTTCATAAAAAGTGGTTGCTTCTTCCTTAGCTGAAAGACTTCTTCTGATTTCACTTTTCCGTTTCCCCCATTATTATTATTATTATTATTATTATTATTATTATTATTATTATTATTATTACACTACCTTATGCTAACCTGTTCGTTATTGTTTTTTTACGCCTCTTACCCTCTTTTTTTGTTTTTCTCTTCAAATTCTCATTGTTTTGTGTGGCGCATATATATTTAGTGCCCTCTTGTACCAATATTTATGTTTTCAAATAAAATAAAATAAATTAATTAATTCAGTCTGATTGGATTGTGTGTGTTGAACGTGATAGATGCGAGTTGAGACATAGAAGTTATGTAGGCGCCGAATTTTAACTTATTGCACCAGCTTTGTTTCTATAAAACAAACTTTCAGTCTGTGTCCCCTTAAATAGTTTATATGATCGTTCTTGTATTATTGTATCAATTTTATTTAAGATAGATTTGTATACTAATGAATTTTTGTCAAGTTTGCAAATCATCTGTTTTCTAGGTGCAGTTGAACTTTGGAGTCAATTACGTAAACGTGAGAATAACCTGGATTCATCCTTCGTCTTGGAGAATTTTCAAGAAGCATGTCAGGCAGTCAATACAGCAGTTCTACCGACCACAGTTAGTTTATTTCCTTCAGATATGTTTTCAAAAAGTTATTTATAATTGTAGTCACATAGTGCTGATCGATTTGATGTTACAAAATCCTTTACTGGGTGGCGCAGTAGTAGTCAAAGTTTACTTTACTCCTTTATTGATACGTGGCTGTTCGTTGTTAAAATTCACGAAATATACTGTTCACATCATGTCTAATGAACATCGAAACCTCAGTGTTCCGCCTGTTTTCCAGGTTCTTCACTTTAAGCAAATAATAAATCGACTATAGTTTAATCGATCATCACCATTACAAGTCCTTGAGTCTTGAATGCTTTGGAATTACCGAGTTAGGCAATAATTCTTTGATTGTTTTACTATACACTGCTTTCTAGTGTTATGTAAACTAGTAACCTGAATCGCGTTAAACTCAAACCCTTTTAAAACAATATGACAGTATTTTTTTCTTGTTGAGGATTTAGAAAATCAAAAGGCAGCGAAAATTTATTTAATACATCATGTACAAACTTTGCTTCTCTTTGATTCGTTATTTTTTACATACTATTGCTCTGGATGTATCGTCATAATGGTGGTAAATTTTTTTTTCTGTCCCATATCTCTGTCACCTATCATAATGAGTTCATGTTTAGATGAATAGTTCTATTTACGACAGTTGTATAGTTCCTTTCATACATGAATATAGTCTCAAAATTATGGTCTTACACATTATACAAATCTGTAACCCTAAATTGTTGTTTCTAGTTCTTTATTATCGGTGTGTTCACTAGTATAGTGTTATTCATAGTCATATGAACAATGCACTATGTAATTATCTCAAGGATACATTTATTTTTCTATTTTATAAAATCATTTAAGCAAGTTTTTTTATTTTTTAGATTCCTGAAAATGTGAAGAAGTTACTCGAGGATGACCGCTGTAATGATCCCTGTGTTACAAATATTGGTATTTCGGGATCCAGTAGTTCAGTATGTAAATATGGGAAATTACATATTTTGTTAGGGTTTATTTATCAATTTCTGTACTAAAATTAACTTGACCTTTCACATCTTGAAGGTCACCGATTTCATAAAGTTCCTTTCTTAGTGAAGCTAATGATTATTTCTTAATGTCCTTAGGCATTATTGTGCGCTAAATGCTGATTATCTGCTTTAAATATTTAGTGGTTTCATACACATATTAATACTGTTGTTTTTGAAAATAGGTTTAACAATAATTACTTCTGTGGTATATACATATTATCCTCTTATCAAATTATATTATAGTTAGAAATATTATTGAAAACTGAGTAAATCTAACTTTATATAATTCTGTATACAACGTCCATCAGTCAGTCAGTGAGCTGCAACGTAGGACCAGGCACATATATGCATCGGTCCAAATTGCCACACCGCATTAGCACACAAGATGAACACCGGATTCATAGAAGTAGTCACATCAAAGGTAGTAGTATATAAAAGAAAGATTGTGTATAAGGATATAATACAGGAAGAAAGAATTAGTTCGTAGGAAGAAAGACATGAAGCGATTTTAATCTCTTAGCTTAAGGGAAGACAGAGAGTGTATGCACCAACGCCATTGTGATCGATTCTGATGGGATGAGTTTACGAGAATCCATCAGTGCAATAGACCTTGAAGAAATCCATTGATTCTTTGTAACCGTGTGGTTTAAATTACTAATTGATGTCACTGCTGTTTCCACAGCAGTCCATAGGCGGATATCTTACAGAGCATATTTAAGAGAACCTTCCGAGTAGCTTCTGAAAGTTGATTATCTACTTACTCCATCCTCACTTTCAAACACTCAATATATTACATATGCTGGACCGTATTTAGAATAGAAAATTGTGTGTTCAAATTTTTGGCTGAAATTACTGTGACAGCGGAAATTACTTTCTATGTAAATCAAAAAACGGGAAATGAGTCAGTAATTAAGTTGATTAGTGCTTCTTTGTGCCACCACAACATTAGTGTATATTGTTGGTAAATTCGTGAAATTGTGGGTACAAAATTTAAAACACTGCGCAAAATTGACTTCCGATACAACATTCCACATGTTTAAAAGGATTCATCTATATCATCTAACAAATTTACTTTAATTACTGTGTATCTTTACTCACATAAATAGAATCTGAAGTGTCCTACCAAGAACCACCAACAATTACACAGAAAGGATTCTGTTTACACAACTATTTCATCTGTGAAATTCTGGCGTCTAGTTCGTGCTTTACGAGATTTTATTGAACATGAAGGTGAAGGACAACTACCTGTACGTGGTAGTCTACCAGATATGATATCTGATTCGAAGCGTTATTTACAGCTTTTAACTATTTATCGTGAACGTTCTGAATGGGCAGTGGAACGTCTTGCCTCAAGATTATTGCAAGTAAGTTTCGAGTATTCGTTTTTACCTTTTTCTCTCTCTCTTTAAAAGGAACATTCAACTCTTTTTTTGTCGAGATAATTTGTGTAAATGAATCCTGTTTGATTGAATGCATCGTATCATTGGAATAATAAGTAGTAGAAAATATCCCAAGCAGTAGAAAAACATTCTGTCGAAGAATGACTTCAAAAATTCTGTCATCCGAGATTTCGTAGTGAAAATGTTTTTTTCTTCATTTCATACTCACATTCTATATTTGTTATAACTTGTGTGACCCGCCAACTGTTATATCTTGTGACCGTGGTTTAGAGGAGAGATGGCAGTGAGTTATCGATCGGACCAAACACGTAAGAACAGCCTGGAGTTCTGATTAGTCGCGCTTCCCTGTCTAGCCCAGCCAGTTGAGTCCAGAACGCAAATCTCATCCTCTATGGTATGAATCATTATATTTCAAACATACTCTGTTTATATACCAAACAAACAGACTACATCGTACCATAAAATAGAAAGTGACATTTGTACAAGATTTGACCTCCAGGAAATGACAAATAAATATTGACCAACGGGTAAATGACACGTTGGAAGAATATTGACCAATGGGGAAATGACACCATTTCTCATTCAGGAATAGCATTAGATAATTTCTGGGGTATTTTTCTGAATACCCCAACAATATTATAACCAGAATTTATTTTCTTCATGTACCTTGGTCTTATTAGCTATTCGTTATCTGAATTTTCCGAAATTAATATTCAACCTGAAGTTTGTGTCATCGATTCTATGTATATAAATGATAAAGATCTAAAAACACAATAAAATACCGTTCGTTCCATATCCTTAATTGTGATGACAAAATGTAGGATATATGGATTTCTCTTCTACTGATCGCGTGATTTTGCCTCAGGACTAGTTTGTGTCATTTCTTAATCTAATTGTACCGAGTAACGTAGTTGTAAAATTAGTTCAAATGATCTTTTAGCTGACTTAATACCAGAACAGATACAACAGCGACCACCTTTGTCCTCAACAAGATTTTCATCTCTCTAACAAAAGGTGTGCAGCAGCTCTTTTTGTATTATTTTTCCTAACTCTGAAACACAGGCTCTAATGATAGAGGGCCTTTATATAGATATACCTAAATCACTATTTCGATGTTTACATTTTGACTTGAACCTGGCGACTATATTTTATTTTTTGCATTTTAGTTTCCTGATATTTGTGTAGACGACGTACGTCTTTTTGGTGAGTCCTTGAAAAGCTGTCGTTCTTAAAATTTATGATGTTAATATTTTTGAGCTAAATACAGATTGCCACGAAAATAATTCTAAAAAAATAGACTTTACAATGTGGATTCAATTATTTTGTATCATTGGTTGTTGAACTGATCTGTGTGGGTGTAGGTGCAACTAATTAGTTAACGTCCTCTTCGAGTATTCAAACCACTGAGTGCAACTGTCCAGAATCACTTGTAGTTGCACAGATTCTTGGATCTCATGTTTAAAAACTATCTACTTTTAATCGTAATAATTCAGTCTTTCCTGAATGTGATACAGTCTGTGCCTAGTCTTTTTGTTGCAATTAGTACTGTTACTAGTTCTTCCGCCCCCAAATGCCCTGGTACGGCCGAGAGTGGGGAGAGTCCGCTCTCCCTCTCGAAATGCTCTCACATGGCCATGCGTATATAGCCTCTGCCAGGGAAGTCCTACTCACTGCCTTCTCGTGGCGGGGGTGTTGTTTACAAAAATGAGAAGACGAAAAGCGAATGTCTGGCGCTTTAACCAGACCCCAAACCAATGGTGCACATGGGCTCCAGTATCCTGCCTGAGGGAACAAATGGCGTATGAACCAACTTTTGGTCACCGGCTTCCATGGGACTGCATCTCCTCACGATGCTCCACTGCCTTGTGGGTCAGACGTTCAGGTCAAAGGCTCGGAGTGTGGCCCCCTAAGAAAACCACCTGCTTCGGTTTGGGCACCCGGGCAGTATCACAGCCCTCACACAAATCAATTGAGATTTGTGTGGCGCATATGTATTTGGTGCCTCCCTGTACCTATACTTATGTGTTAAAATAAATAAATATAAATACTAGTTTTTCCACTCTGGAACTTGTTTTGGTTATTTCAACTCAGTGTTTATATGGTATTTGAGTTTGAACTGATGCACAAATGTGCGCTCCAGGTCCTGCGTTACTTATGATTGACTAGCTGTTGTGATTGTTTATATCTTTGAAATATGTTCTAGCGAAATGCAAATATGTTTCTTTATCTTCAATGTAATAACATTCATAGGTCAATATTTATCTAAATCAAAAAATGAGATATTATAAGATAAGCATATAGTCTGAGAAATTTCGCATTAAAGGTGAAATTACTCTCAAAACTAATAAATTGTTAGACATTATAATGTTGATTAATAATGTAAGTTAGCAACGAAGTATAGATTAATGTATAGAGTACCATTTATGTGTGAGGGTTAGTGATACTAATCGAATGCTGAAATCAAAGTGTGTATTTCCATTATCTTTTTAATCACTGTTCTTTTATTCTGCTACGGTTCTTTTGATTATAAACTTTCTTAGGTGTTTCATTGTAAATATCTGATTTTAAGCAAATTATTTGGAGGAAGGCATTCAATACTTTGTTACATACATCCAAACTTAAACTCTCTCGTCTCAATAAAAGCATTTAGTGGTATCTTGGAACGATGACTATTTTCGCTGGCGAAAAATCTCACTGTAATTAGACTGTTTAGATGTTCGACCTTATTTCATTTTATTTTCATTTGTTGATTAACATTTTAATGCATTATTTTCAGTTAAAAATGCAAGCTTCTTGAATGTTATACGTTGTCGGTCATTAGAAGAGGAAATGAAACTTTCACCAGCGCGTTCAGACGATCTTAGTAAATTCTTATTTATTGTTAAAATTTGTGTTTCTTTATCAGTTTCTATGATTTTATTCTAAGCAAGTCATACTCATTTTTCTTTATGGCGAAAAAAATTGTCTTGAAGACGCTGAATTTTTTTCAGGTGTTCCATTTCCAAGGTATCATAACCTCACTATGAATCTAGTACTAACCTTTAGGATTCCCAGGAATCTACTCTACTTTATGAGTACTGGCTATGAAGCAACTAGCGATTTCCACTTCATTTGGTCAGCAACATATCCGAATGTTTGAATTACCATGTCATCAATCCCCATATCTAATAACTAAAATAAGAGAATATTGGCAATTCTTCGGTTAAATATTTTTACTGTTTAGTTAGTTATGGTAGTTTTACTAGAAACATGGATTTAATACCTCCTAATTTAAAGCTTTAATGTACTATTTCGCAATAAACTAATTACTTTAAAAAAAGCAACTCAACCTTCTTGATGGCTGTCTTCTGTCGAGCATATTTACAGTCAGTTTACTTATTAGTTATTATGAATTCTAGTGGCTTGCCCGTATACAATATATAAACTCTGGTATTTTCTTTTAGCTTTACTCCCAACACACAAAGAAAATGACTCCATGTTGTGGTATTTAGTTCTTCGAGGTGCTAGTAGTTTTCTGATGGAAACTGGACGGTGGCCTGGTAGCTCACAGCCTTATACTACAACATTTAAATTCAGTTCTAAAAACCAAAATCCAAACTCAACTGGTATTCCAGTGCCTTGTGAAGAACGATTCTCCTCTACAAATTCTGAACATTTAGACATGAACATAATTGAATCTGACTTACCAACGTTACGGATACACTTAAATCGTGTTCTTCAGTCGTTTGGGATTGCATCAAATCGTGTTAGCACAGATTATTTGGAGGTAATGTGTTTACTTAATTATATTTCCTACGGTATGTAATACTGATAAAAACGAATTAGGAGTATGATATACAACGCTTATCAGTCCGTGTTCTTTGAATGTATTTAATAGACCCAGACATGTTAGGTGTGAGTAGTCTGTGATCGGTAAATGAGCAACGACAGACACACCTAGTTACAGTAAACATAAAACACTATTTTATATGTAAAACTGACCCTACTCGTGTTTCAATTCGACTCCACTTTGTCATTGCATTTGATGTGTTAATTTACTTTTGTGTTATGACCTATTTCTAGTTCTTGTCTAGCCAGATAATTAAGTCAAGTGTGTCATTTGATCAAACATTATGACCGACCAATCTAATTATTCGGTGATCCTGTATCAAGTATCCAGTGTAGGATTCAAAGCCCAAACCTATTATTGTTGATTCAGATTGTGTTATCAGAGGTAAACTACGTGTTTGGGATTCGCACAATAACTAATGTCAGTAATTGGAGACCCATCAATACATACATTTTCCACCTTCTAGATTTTGATTTTCAATAATATTCTTTTTAATCGATGAAGTTGGCCAGTTGGTCTGAGACATTACTGCGACAAGAAAATAGAGGGGTTAAATAACATGGTCACGTAATCGCATTCACTTCTTAACTTACTTCTTTACAAATTCCATTTTGTTTTTTTAAAACTATATTCTCAATTCATAATCTTTCTCATTATCATTAGTACTAAATGATTTTGTTATTTATGTTTTTAACCAATATAATATAACAACTTAAGTTGATACATAATTGTGTCAAAGTACACTTTAATTATGTCTAACTACTTATCTAGAATTGTCATACTTTAAAATGAATAATATTCGGATACTGTGGAAGTTTTTTTTGAACGTAATGGCAACGCTATTATTTCGCTTTATTGTATGTAGAACAATACATTTAAGAGAACAATATTATGTTCAATTAGAACTTTATAATCTAATATACAATAATATCTATATACATATTTAAATAATATTGAATCATTCGAAAAAATTGGAGTTAATCGTCATAAAATAAGATACATAAATAGTCGTAGTGAGTATATTGTAAAAATTATTATTATCTAGTCTTTGGATCGACATAACTTTCTCCATGGTATCAGCTAAATTGGTAGTCTGACAAAGATCTATTTTAAAACAGTATTGTTCGCCTATATGTTCTCTCCCAGTTCACACGAAGGGTTGTAGTATTGTCATAAGTATTCAGAAAACATAATGATATCCACTAAATTCTTTTAAATCGATTGCCTAACTAAAGTCAGTCAGTGACGCAAACTATATATATATATATATATATATATATATATTATTTTTCCTGCAATATATTAAAGCTGCGCCACTTCTACCTTCTTTTCTAATCTACAGGAAATGTGTCAGTTCCGTGGTAATGAGCTACATTCAGTGGTTGCATTTATGGGTGGAGTTGTAGCACAAGAAGTTATCAAATTAATCACACACCAGTTTATCCCAATATCGAAGCCGTTGATATATAATGCTATTCACCAAAAAGTAGAATTGTTGGATTTTTGATGAACATTGTTGCTCATATATGAGTTGAGTATATGCATGATAAATAAATGTTATTTTCCAATTTGAGAACATTTGTCACTCAGGCGACGTTTCGTTTTCTGAGCTGCATGGTTTGGTCGTGGAATATTCATTGCTTATATGGAAATCATCAGCGCAAATTTCAGGTAAACGTTAAGTGTTCGGATTTCCCCATATATGACTCACAGATTGAGTGGTTATTGTTGACCGATCCGATTTATCAACCAATCAGAAAAATCATAGATAAATATGGTGTGGTACAATAAAATTAAAGAAGTAAGCAATGGCAGGTTAAAAGTCAACAATAACCAATCAAGATCGACAGGACATGTTGAGTCATATATGAAAAAATTCGAACACGTCATTTCTACCTGAATTTTGTCCTGATGATGCTGTTCAGAAGAACAACGAAAACTCCACCACTAAACCATCCAACTCAGGGAACAAAACTTCTCCTAAATGATTTACTATATCTTGGTCATTTTTTACATTCCGATCAACTCAGCATTTGAGTTTCATGAGTTTTGTTTCCGAACAGCGGTTGGTTAACTGATGTTGAATAGGGACTACGTAATTATGTCACTTAATTCCATATAACACTTATTACTGTGACTTTATTCAGTGATGGAATCTTTCTCTGGATAGGATATCATATTTTCTAGGTCTACTGCTATCTGTATTAATGAATATTATATTCATTTAAACCCTTAACCGAGAGCATAATTTTCTTCCTTATCAAAGCTGATGCACAATGGCAGTCGATGTTCTGATGGATACTGATTAACGAGGATGCATTGAAATTTACACTTTACACCGACACGATAAAACAGTGATGGCAACGTTCATATGCACAATCCGTTCGATTTACTAACTGAATGAATACATTTTACCTAATTAATAGGTGTTATAAGTTGTGGTTTTGTAACCTTGGTTCTTTGTTTTTCACCACGTCGCCAATTGTTATAACGCTCGGTTTTACTTCGTCTAATGTTATAACGGTTGGGTTTTCACGTTTGCACGTATTGGACGTTAATTTACACTAGATTGCCTCCCAATGCCTATTCCAGAGGATGTCAACACAACTTGGACCAATAACACGTGATTAGCCTGACCACAACGTAAATATATTTCCACACCAAAAACCCGACACAATCCAACAACAATGAACAATCAGACTATCTACATGTCTGACTAACCAGACAACCAATCATTATCATTCTCGCCCACACATCAATAGGTTTGCCGAGTATTAGCACACCAAAAGGTAATTAAATCCTATATTTCAGAGTTGTGATGCGGCCACTAGTCTTACTGACTTAATAGGTCCTGGGTTTTCAGCCGATTTCATTTAAAGCATCAGTTTTTTTTACAACAGTTTAGATAATCAATTTAATGGTAGTTTGAAGTGACAAAACTGGAATTAATTCCATATTCATCAATTGGGATGATCTAGTTGGCAGAAAAATCAGTGTGCGTGTACCAAAATGTATTATACAGTCTGTTTCTTTACAAAATTATCTTGTCATAAAAACAAATCAAATGTTACGTAGTTTGTTAACGATTCATCTAGCATAAACAGAAAACCACATAAGATAAAATAATTCTGCACAAGTACGAATAAGTTAGTGAAACGGATTGAAAATAATAAAACTGAAACTATCAAACAAATATGTAGGCATGGAGAAAATTACAGACTACAAAATTCAAGAAAATCTCAATCCATTATATTTATACGTAGTGCCTTAGGTGTTTGTATCTTGACTGACTGAATTGGATATTTTATGATAATCATTGCTGTTACTATTATCAGTAGTACTCGTAATAGTAGTAGGTAAAATTCCACTTCGTTGTTGATCCCAAAGTTGTCTATAATATGAATCCGGTTGTGATAGTAAACTAGAGTGCGTACCACGTTCAGATACACGACCATTTCGTAAGACTAAGATTTCATCAGCTTCAATTATTGTGCTTAAACGATGAGCGATTACAAGCGATGTAATTCCAGGTGTAACTTCTGCTAATCGTTGAAGAATAGTCTACATAATTTGTGTATGTTATTTTAGTAGAGAAAAGAAAAAAATGTATATAAATATAAATATATATTTAAATAGGATCAATTTACTTGAATCTCACCTAGTGTCAGTGATTCATAAACTACTATCAGGAATGTTTTTGGCCAGGTATCATTTAGGTATCGCATATAGACTGTGTTGGCCTGCCCCTGTGTACGATAAGTTGGAATACGTTGTCGAAACTGAGATTTACAATGCAGTTTTATATTGAAGAAATAAAAGAGTCGATCGACTTACAACATTAACAGAGCCTCAGTATTAAGTTCTGCCGTCTTGAATCGTATGTTTTGAATGGAAAAGTGATTAATTTTAAGATCTATTACCTTAGGGTGAAGATTGTTGTTCCTATTAGAGTACTAGCTGCATCCGACTAAGCTTCGGTTCATTTCAAGGACAAAATGCATTTTCGATAACAAACTATCAGCGTAGTTAATGTGAAAACTATCTAAGTATGTTTCCTTCTGGACATATCTAAAATGATGGCTTCCGTTATACCGTAAAAATTATGAGTTAGACTGGCTAATTACCAATTTGCCTCTTCTGTCGTGTTTGAACATTGACACACATGTAGATGGTTGTATTTGTTGACATGATAACTGCCTTTCGTCTTACTTTAAGTAAATTTATTAGTGATGGCGTTACCTGGAAAGACTATCATTATACTTAAAACCCCTTCAAAACTAACTTGAATAAACTGAGAGCTCACAAACACCTTTTCACGGTTTTGAAATGAACTTTTTCACAAAACTCAGTAGGATGTACTTACCGAAGATCGATTTCCTGGAGAATTTCATCTTTGAGTAAGGGACGATATGTAGGGCTAACCAAATCGTACATAATTAGTGTACATAGGTATAATACAAACTTCGCATCACCACTTCTTCATAAACATTGGTACAAGGAGGCATCAAATAGATATGCGACACATAAATCCTTCGATTTGTGTGAGGACTGAGCTACTGCCCGAGTGCCCAAACAGAAGCAGGTGGTTTTCTTAGGAGGCCACACCCTGAGCCTTCGACCTAAATGTCTAGTCCAGAAGGCAGTGGAGCAATGTCAGAAGATGCAGTCTCATGGCCAACAATAGGTTCATACGCCATTTGTTCCTTCAGAATCCTGGAGTCCATGTGCACCATTGGTTTGGAATCAGGGTTTCCAACTTCCCTCAGTGTCCACCAACCCGGTTAAAGCGCCGGACATTCGCTTTTCGTCCCCTTAGTTTCGTAAACAACAGTAATACCGCGAGAAGGCAGTGAATCGGACTTGCCTGGCAGTTGTTGTATGCACGTCGCTATATGAGAGCATTTCGAAAGGGAGAGCCGACTCTCCCAGCCCTCGGTCGCACCACGGCATTTGGGGGCACTAGTTATATATTTATTAATAGCCACAACTTAGTTGGAACCTTGATTATAATGAAAAATAAATTGTTATCGATATTTTTAAAATATAAAAATATACATGTTCAGTGATTGAATCTAATGATGACGTCGCTTCGTCATAAATCAAAATTGGAGCTTTCTTCAGTAGAGCCCTAGCGATCGCTATTCGTTGTTTTTCACCACCGCTCAATTTCAAACCACGTTCTCCGACCTTTACGAAGAAAAACGAAAAATAAAATGTTAGTTTAATATGCATATTATCAAAATAAACGGATAACTAGTCAATTGAACTATTCAAAGTGAATGTAGGTTATGTTCATCAGAGATTGATGCTAGTTGAGATATTACTAAAAACTAGGTAGTACTGGATAAATATTTTGTTCTAGTATAAAACCCCACAGTATTGAGCACTAACAAACACACCGGAGATCGAACCAAGGAACTCCTGGTCTTTAGGCGAACGTCTAATCATTAGAAGCTAAAAATTAAAGTCAATCTTCTTTCCCAAGATACATAATATTCAGCTTTATAATGACCTAATTCAAGATGTTTCTGTAGTTCTAATGGGAACACGTGATTTATAGAGTTCGAAGTGACGTTTTTCTGACATCATTAGACGATTGTCTTCGAGCTGCTGGATATCAAATCAAAGGTTTGGAGTTTGATGTGACACCTGAAGACCCTTGGGTTTGAATCCTGGTGGGTTCGCACTGCTGAAGAGTAACGTACAGTGAAAGAGCTTTCCAATGTTCCCTAGTTTTTAATGGTACTTCAACTGAAATCAAACTGATAAAATAGAACCTAAAAACTAAAACTGATCTTTAAAAACTCCTTCAATTATAGTATGTTGAATGTATTAATTTCTAATAAATTTATCAAGTATGAATTTATTTAGTCAGTTATGGGTGGTACTGCTGTTTCCTACTACCCAACTATCCAAAATAAAGTTAGCAGAGTATTATCTTAACTTGTAGCTGGAAGGTAAATCTTTTAACCGTTAAGTTGTTGGACAATATATAATAATAAATGATCCCGACCAGCGCGTTTTTTGTAGAGTATATAATATACACAAGTATTCAGTATTTCCGCATTGTAGTGTTAAGGTATTTTTAATAGATTGGGTTTTTTGTCTGGTTTATAAAACAACTAACTTCTAGTTGCCCCCAAATGCCCTGGTATGGCCGAGAGCGGGGAGGGTTCGCCCTCCCTCTCGAAATACTCTCACACGGCCACGGGTATACAGCCTCTGCCAGGGAAGTCCTACTCACTGCCTTCTCGTGGCGGGGGTGTTGTTTAAAAAAATGAGAGGACGAAAAGCGAATGTCCGGCGCTTTAACCGGATCCAAATTCTATGGTGCACATGGGCTCCAGTATCCTGCCTGAGGGAACAAATGGCGTATGAACCAACTTTTGGTCACCGGCTTCCATGGGACTGCATCTCCTCACGATGCTCCACTGCCTTGTGGGTTAGACCCTTAGGTCAAAGGCTCGGGGTGTGGCCCCCTAAGAAAACCACCTGCTTCGGTCTGGGCACCCGGGCAGTATCTCAGCCCACGCACTAAAATCATGATGAACTATTTGCTTATGGAAAATATTCCCTTCTCTCTGATTAACATTGAAATGACTCGTACTATTATTATTATTATTATTATTATTATTATTATTATTTTACCACGTCATTTATTCACCCTCTCTTATACCTACTTTATGTATCCGTTTCGACCTAGACAGCAGCTCGCCTATCGTGAAAATTCAGCTTTATCTAAACGTTCCCGAGTCACTGCCTGGTTGAAAATTGTATGTTACTACCGAACATGAGTACTGAAGCAGTTTTTCTGAAACCGCGTGCACCATTCAAACTGGCTGCCTTCAACGTTCGCACACTTATGCAGGTCGGACAACAGATAGGACTAGCTATGTCTTTGGAAAGTCTTAATATTGATGTGTGTTGTCTATCCGAGACCCGTATTCAAGACTCTGGTGAAGTACTACAAGTTCGCTCTCCATCTGTCACTTCAAAAAGCTTGTTTTATGTGCGTTTATCCGGGGACCCTGTGGCATCTTCGTCTGGTCTTGCTGGCGTTAGTGTCGCACTAAGCGCTAGAGCTGAGGCAGTACTAGTCGACTGGATCCCCATTAACAGTCGGTTATGTGCTGTTAGATTAGAAAGTTCCATCAAAGTGAGAAGAAATCGGCGTGAGAAACGGTGTCTTTTCGTCATCTCCGCCTATGTCCCGACAGATTGCAGCCCGGATGCAATCAAGGACGAGTTCTACCACCAGCTAACTGTTCTTCTCCAGAAAGTGCGCTCGACAGATATTGTAGTACTAGCTGGAGACTTGAATACTCAGGTCGGGCGTCTAGGCACAGAAGAGAGTCGTTTAGGTGGCCGATGGGGACTCGTTGGTCGCAGGACAGATAACGGGGAACGTCTACTGCAACTATGCACAGACCACAACCTGTTTCTGGCTAGCACTAACTTTCGGCACAGTCATCGCCGATGTGCCACCTGGCGTCCTCCTTCTGCATCTCAAGCCTGGACTCAGATTGATCACATCGCGATCAGCTACCGCTGGCGCGGTTGTGTACAAGACTGCCGCTCCTTTTGGAGTACCTATCTGGAATCTGATCATGCTCTGGTCTGCGCCAATCTTACCTTACTTTTCAGTGGACAACGAAGTGACCGCCACCAAAGGATTGATGTTAGCAAGCTGGCTGCAACTTCTGTTGCTAGTAAGTACCGAACCGAGCTAGCTTCTAGGCTAGCTACCATTCCACCGAAAAGTATAGATGAGCATTGGTTGCGATTGCATGACGCCATGAAAATGGCGGGTACAGTCTGTTGTGGGTTTGCGAAACGTCCCGCTTACAAGCACTGGGTTTCTTCTGGTTCCTTACAACTGATTGAAGCCCGTCGGTCTACTCCGGGTGACCGTGAGTTTGACCACAGACGAAGGATGTTACGTAATGAAATCGGGCAAAGCTTGCGTAAGGACCGAGAAGCCTGGTGGTCGGAGCGTGCCAGTGAGCTGGAAGCAGCAGCTGCATCTGGTAATTACCGGAAGCTCTTCCAACTCATCCGAGTCACTGGCAGCAAGAAGTTTGGTGTGAGCGAAACAATCTGCGAGGATGACGGAACGCCAATCACTAACATCCATCGACGTCTTGGACGGTGGGCAGAATTCTTTGAAGGGCAGTTCAACTGGCCTGCTGCTCCGGCAACATCGGTCAGACTGTCCTGCCCTCCATGGCCGGTGACGACTGATCCACCAAATGAGGCGGAAGTCCGCAAGGAACTCCAACTCTTGAAACGTTACAAATCACCGGGCCCAGACGACTTAACTCCGGCTCTTTTTAAAGATGGTGGTGACTTTTTGACTAAGGGACTGACGACGTTGTTTACAAAGATCTGGGAACTAGAGAGTGTACCAACGTCATGGAATGAGTCGATAGTTGTCCCTATCTTTAAAAAGGGTTCACGTTGTTCCTGTAACAACTATCGGGGGATAAGTCTACTTACGATTGCGTCCAAGCTATTGGCTTCCGTCATACTTCGTAGGTTGTTCAGGACCCGAGAAGGATTGACTCGCGAGGAGCAGGCTGGGTTTCGTTCTGGTCGAGGATGTATTGATCATATCTTCACCCTCCGCCAAGTGTTAGAACACCGCCATACTTATCAAAGGCCAACAATCGTAGTGTTTCTTGATATCAGGGCTGCATTCGATTCGTTGGACAGAACTGTTCTCTGGGATTGTCTATTGAAGAAGGGTGTGCCTGAGAAGTTTATTAACATCCTAAAAGCCCTATACACAAACACCTGAGGCAGAGTGAGGGCATACAACCACCTTTCTCCACTATTCCATTCGAGCAGTGGGGTTAGGCAGGGTTGCCCAATCTCACCATTCCTCTTCAACTTTGCCATCGATGACATTCTGGAAACAGCTCTGACGGATGTAAGTAATGGTGGTGTGGATCTATTGCCTGGAGAAAGACTTCTCGACCTTGAGTATGCGGATGATATTGTCTTACTGTGCGAGAATGCCCAAGCCATGCAATCCGCACTTAATCAGTTGGCAATCAGTGTCCGTAGGTATGGTATGTGCTTTGCAGCTTCGAAGTGCAAAGTACTTCTACAAGACTGGCAGGATTCTAATCCTGTACTCACTCTGGATGGTGAGCAGATTGAAGTAGTCGAGAAGTTCGTGTATCTGGGTAGCTGCATAAGTGCTGGTGGTGGTGTGAGTGATGAGATCAATGCTCGTATAGTGAAAGCCAGAGCGGCTTATGCCAATCTGGGCCATCTTTGGCGCCTTCGTGATGTTAGTCTGGCTGTAAAAGGTCGGATCTACAACGCGACGGTGAGAGCAGTTTTGCTCTATGCTTGTGAAACCTGGCCTCTCCGAGTTGAGGATGTTAGACGACTCTCTGTGTTCGATCATCGTTGTCTCCGAAGGATTGCTGGCATCCAGTGGCAACACCATGTCAGTAATGCAGAGGTTCGGCATAGAGTGTTCGGTCACAGAGACGATAATGCAATTGGTGTCACCATCTTGAAACACCGACTTCGGTGGCTTGGACATGTTCTACGAATGTCGTCCCAGAGAATTCCTCGTCGTGCATTATTTGCCGACTCTGGGACTGGTTGGAAAAAGCGGAGAGATGGTCAGTATAGACATGGTGTCGTGGTATGAAAGAAAGCTGCAAAGGGCTAGCTTCTGTTGGTCCTTCACGACTTCCTGGTTGGGATCCGAGAGACGGTGTAACGCAGTGGCTAGAGACGTTATCAGATATGGCTAAGAATAGAAGCCAGTGGCGATCGTGCTGTAACCTCTTACTTTCTTCATAAAAAGTGTTTATATCTTCCTTAACTGAAAGATCTCTTCTGATTGTACCTTTCCGTTTCCCCCACCATTGTTCTCTCTCTCTCCCTTTTTTTTTATAATCCCCCACGTTCATTACTTTTTTTTTCTCTTTTCTCCTTCTCTTCAAATTATCATTGTTTTGTGTGGCGCATATATATTTGGTGCCCCTCTGTACCAATATTTATGTGTTCAAATAAATAAATAAATAAATAAACTTCTAGTTGATGATATGGTTTAAAAACAGCAAATACTCCACTCACTTGTGTATCGTATCCGTGTGGCATACGTTCAATTGCATTAGCTACATTCGATAAACGAGCGGCTTCGTAAACTTCCTCCGGAGTTGCTTTCAAGTTACCGTATTGGAGATTATAAAATATAGTGTTATGGAACAAAACCGTATCCTATGAAACAACAGGACAATGAACGTCGATACTGATAAAGCGTTCTTATATATAAGCATAATTAGCGAAACTACAATTTTATTTGCTCTATGAAATTCGATTGAAAATAGCAACCCTTGGGATGTTGCACGAGATATGAAACACTTAAGGATAGCTGGTTGGATTTGGCTGGTTTCGATGACGATATAATCGTGGACATTTATAGAACAGTGAGCTCTTGAGGAATGTCATTTAGTGATCTTGGTCAACAAACTATGAGAAAAGCTACGGAAATTTCATTAACTCAACAGGAGGCATGGATTGATTGGGATGGGTGAGACTATTATTATTATTATTGGTACAAAAGGTCACCAAATATATATGCGCCACACAAAACAATGATAATTTGAAGAGAAGGAGAAAATATATATATATATATATAAAGGTAAGATTGGCGCAGACCAGAGCATGATCAGATTCCAGATAGGTACTCCAAAAGGAGCGGCAGTCTTGTACACAACCGCGCCAGCGGTAGCTGATCGCGATGTGATCAATCTGAGTCCAGGCTTGAGATGCAGAAGGAGGACGCCAGGTGGCACATCGGCGATGACTGTGCCGAAAGTTAGTGCTAGCCAGAAACAGGTTGTGGTCTGTGCATAGTTGCAGTAGACGTTCCCCGTTATCTGTCCTGCGACCAACGAGTCCCCATCGGCCACCTAAACGACTCTCTTCTGTGCCTAGACGCCCGACCTGAGCATTCAAGTCTCCAGCTAGTACTACAATATCTGTCGAACGCACTTTCTGGAGAAGAACAGTTAGCTGATGGTAGAACTCGTCCTTGATTGCATCCGGGCTGCAATCTGTCGGGACATAGGCGGAGATGACGAAAAGACACCGTTTCTCACGCCGATTTCTTCTCACTTTGATGGAACTTTCTAATCTAACAGCACATAACCGACTGTTAATGGGGATCCAGTCGACTAGTGCTGCCTCAGCTCTTGCGCTTAGGGCGACACCAACGCCAGCAAGACCAGACGAAGATGCCACAGGGTCCCCGGATAAACGCACATAAAACAAGCTTTTTGAAGTGACAGATGGAGAGCGAACTTGTAGTACTTCACCAGAGTCTTGAATACGGGTCTCGGATAGACAACACACATCAATATTAAGACTTTCCAAAGACATAGCTAGTCCTATCTGTTGTCCGACCTGCATAAGTGTGCGAACGTTGAAGGCAGCCAGTTTGAATGGTGCACGCGGTTTCAGAAAAACTGCTTCAGTACTCATGTTCGGTAGTAACATACAATTTTCAACCAGGCAGTGACTCGGGAACGTTTAGATAAAGCTGAATTTTCACGATAGGTGAGCTGCTGTCTAGGTCGAAACGCATATATAAAGTAGGAATAAGAGAGGGTGAATAAATGACGTGGTAAAATAATAATAATAATAATAATAATAATAATAATAATAATAATAGTACAAGTCATTTCAATGTTAATCAGAGAGAAGGGAATATTTTCCATAAGCAAATAGTTCATCATGATTTTAGTGCGTGGGCTGAGATACTGCCCGGGTGCCCAGACCGAAGCAGGTGGTTTTCTTAGGGGGCCACACCCCGAGCCTTTGACCTAAGGGTCTAACCCACAAGGCAGTGGAGCATCGTGAGGAGATGCAGTCCCATGGAAGCCGGTGACCAAAAGTTGGTTCATACGCCATTTGTTCCCTCAGGCAGGATACTGGAGCCCATGTGCACCATAGAATTTGGATCCGGTTAAAGCGCCGGACATTCGCTTTTCGTCCTCTCATTTTTTTAAACAACACCCCCGCCACGAGAAGGCAGTGAGTAGGACTTCCCTGGCAGAGGCTGTATACCCGTGGCCGTGTGAGAGTATTTCGAGAGGGAGGGCGAACCCTCCCCGCTCTCGGCCATACCAGGGCATTTGGGGCGATGGGTGAGACATAATTAACTATTTTGTATATCGTGGAAATAAGGAACAGTTACACTAAAACAAAATAAGTTAGTGAGATGGTGTATATTAGAGCTTAAAGCCGTTGGAATAAATTTCTCCGTTGATTGTTAGATTCTGTGACAGCATCTGTTTTTGAAATACGTACCAAAGAAGTACATTAACCGTGAACATGCTCTCTACTCGAACACTGCTGGTCGAGTCAGTATATAGCAAACTGGGATCACAATTGGTTACTCCAAGTGGTGTTCATCAAGGTTGTCCGATTCTTCTATTTTCACTTAACTTTGTCATAGATACGCTTTTAGAAATAACATCATCGCCTGACTTTTCAGGGAGTGATCTTCTACCAAGAAATTCACTTATTGACCTGGGATACACAGATGATATGGGTCTTCTTGGTGAAGTCGCTGAAAAAATGCAGTCTTCTGACCACATTGAGCAACAATGCAGGAACGTTTGGCATGAGCTTTTCTCCTCCCAAATATAAAATGTTACTTCAGGATTGGCTTGCATCACCACCCGAATTAGTGATAGGGGGTGAAGTAGCTGAACAAATCGAGCACTTCACTTATCTAGGGAGTCTCATCAGTACTGGTGTCTATCGAAATCTAGGCACAGATACAAAAGGCTCGATTGGCTGGTAACAAACCGCGTCACATGTAGCGTAGGCGTCTGGCAACTAAAAGACAAGTTTACTGCGTAGCAGTTTGCTCTGTCCTATTTTATGGGTGTGGAGCATGGCCATTAAGAATAGAGGTTATTTGCAGGTTACAGGTGTTCGACCATAAATGTCTTCGAAGCATTGCTCGTGGGTTTCAGGAGCACAGAGTAAGCCACTCCTGGTTTTGTTTGTTTGATCACATAAGTATTGGTACAAGGGGTACCGAGTACATATGCACCACACAAGTCACGTGATTTGTGTAGGGTTATGATACTGTCCAAATGCCCACACCGAAGAAGGGTTAGGAATAGAGTATCAGGTAAAGATGGGAAATCAATTGATAAGAAAGTAGATCTTGACTAACTGAGGTGGTTGGGACATGTCAGGTATGCCCAATCATCGCCTACCTCGACGGGAGTTTTCTAGTGTAGGACTAGGTTGGAAGAAAGTTACGAGAGGCCAAACCAAACAAAGCACAGACCATGAAGTCACAGACAATTAAAATGAGCCATGTTAATAGGTGAGACTAGCTGGTTGGGGTCCGCATGATTAAGTAACTAATAGTTAGAAACTTTTAATGACATTTCTTGAAATAGTTTGCAGTGGCACAGTTGTATCGGTTCTTTGTTCTCCCCCGAAATTCTGAGATTCCGAATTTCTCATGACATTTTTTGCTTTTATTTCACTGATTTGTATTTTCTGCTTGAACCGTGTCTTCGATGCCTAATGTTTCCTATTACCACTGATACCGTTACTACCTATACTAGACTAGGATTTGATCTGACAATTTCATCTCTGTGTGATAATGGGGTATTGCAACTTGAACCGATGTATATACGTACGTTGTGACATACTTACTGATACATTTACTTTTGTTCTTACTTTAGTTGGAATTTAATTGTCCTGAAGTGCTTAATGAGTCAGTTACCTAATGATATACTGTGACCACTAAAACTACAGATAATTATATAAGATGAACATAGGTTACGTTAAGGCGAAATTTGCTGACAAAAAAAGATTCACTTGAATAACAATAGCTAAGATTTTAATTGCCCTTATAAAATGTTATACCAGTTTGACCTAGTCAAATAACCTGAATAATTTAAGTATGCATTTGTTATTGGACATTAATTATTTGGAAATTCACAGAATTACCTGTGGTATCACTGCGATCGCATGACGTAAACTCTCCAAATTCACTGACCGAACATCTTGACCACCGACTAGTACACTGCCACTATATACATCAAAAAATCGGTAGACTAATCGAACAATTGTAGATTTTCCGGTACCACTCTCCCCAACAATAGCTACACGTTGGCCAGGTTCAACCTTGAAAGGAGAAACGACCAAAAAAGAAGTATTTCTTAATTATATGGTTTATGACAGCAGGGATATATATACTATAATTGGTCGCATCACTTCAGAACACGGAGAGGAAGTCAACAACATAGACAGAGAAAATGAAATACATAATGTTAATAATATTAAAAAAATGGAAAATATGATCCGAAAAGAGTAATTGTATAAAAATTATAATTGATGTAACTATATTGGAATATTGAGGGGCCAGTCAAGATAGTGATTTCTAGTTTATTTTCGTGAGAACGTCATCTAAAAAATCAACCGTGAAATGAAATTATCGGTTAGAACAACTTGACAGTGATTAAATCTCTTTCAAATTATCCAGTCAGTTTATATGATAGACTTAAAAAATAATTATCATCATAATGATTTATGGAAACAATATTTCGTTCATATATAGGAGTCATTTGTAAGAAAATACTATTGGTTCAAGTGGATCATGAATGAAAATAAAACTGAATTAGTTTACTTATCACTCACTTGATGATAATTAATAACATAAACTAAACTGGAATGTTATTCACTAACATGGAGGATATTGAAAAGATCCCAAGCTGTATAATCATTTTTTTTATTAAATGGTTGTTCTGACGTGTAAGGAACTCTTTGATAACTTAATTCATATCAAACCCTATTGACTTTAGCTCCCGACCGTAGCTGCTACCTTGACGTGGTGGTCGGGCTTGCCTATCGTGATGACCCAACCGAGCTATATTGGCTGGAACACATGTTCCTGCAGGTTCTACCATGCCAGGCAGGTCGATTGGAGAACGGTAAGACGAAAAGCAGCAACTCAAGGTCTGAGGGCGAAGTCGTACTGCTGACTGTACAGAGATGTGACAGCAGTAAGGTGTTTCCCTCGGACAACCAGCATCTGCAGCGATGCTGCCTTCTCACAAGGAAGGAAGGGGTTAGAAAAGGTTGGCCCTAAAAATGTCACACCTCACCTTACCCCACGGATTTCCGTCTCCGGCGGTAAGGCCGTTTGAAGAACGGAGCTAACACATTAAAAACCTCCCACAAAAAGGCCGTGCGCGACCGGCCTCAAGCAGTTGTCCCTTGGGCTCTGCGGTCACGCACTCGGGTCGCTAAGACCAACACTAATCCGATTTCCTTTTCAGGTTCCTCAAGAAATACCCTTCCACGGTGTGGGCAACCGGGAAGTTATATCAGCCCTCATACCCGTAACAGCACACGAGACCAAGTTGGTCACATTCAAATCCTTCCTACATCTTCTAATAACTCTCTTATCTACACGACTAACCCTTCTTACGTCCCTTTATCACCTCGCCCCGCCAGTGCGAACGATTCGAGTACGCGGAATGTTATTCCTGGTCTCCTGAAACCACGCTCCAAACTACACGTAGGAGCTTTCAACGTCCGAACACTGTGCCAAATAGGACAACAGGCTTCCTTAGCTAAGACTTTAGAATCTCGCTCCATTGATGTGTGCTGCGTCTCCGAAACGCGCACACAGGATCCGAGTAGTGTCATTCATTTGACCGCACCATGTCAAAGTAACGAACCAACTCGATTTACGCTTCGTGTATCTGGAAGCCCTGATGCTGCATCCCGTGGCCTCGCTGGCGTAGGTATAGCATTGAGTCCTAGGGCAGAACTAGCTCTTTTAGACTGGATCCCAGTAGACAGTCGTTTGTGTGCTGTCCGACTAAACGGAACAGTAAGGACTCGAAAAGATAGGGACACTCGTCGTTGCCTCTTCGTCGTCTCTGCCTACTCTCCCACTGACTGCAGCTCAGATGATGTAAAAGATGAGTATTACAGAAAGATTTCCGACCTTCTCTGAAAAGCTAGGCGTTCAGATATAGTAATAGTGGCTGGTGACTTTAATGCTCAAGTAGGTAAGCTAAGCAAAAAGGAAAGACACCTGGGTGGATCTTATGGTGTCGCGGTTCAAAGAACAGATAACGGCGACCGTCTGTTGCAGCTATGCTCAGATAACCGCCTGTTTCTTGCAAACACTAACTTTAAGCATAAGGAAAAACATCTTTTAACATGGAGACCCCCTAATTCGTCCCAACGCTGGACCTAAATAGATTACATCGCTATCAGCCACCGATGGAGGGGCTCGATAGAAGACTGCCGCTCATTCTGGAGCACATGCTTAGACTCAGATCATGCTCTAGTGCGAGCGCGTATTTGTCTATGTCTTACTGGACGTAGGAAAGATGGTGCAAAGAAATCCCTTAGGGTCCTACTTAATGATAGTCAAGCTAAGAGTATATTTGAGGAACAACTAGAAAAACAGTTAGACAGCCATGTAACTGATGCCCACCCCGAGGCAGCGTGGAATGACATCCGAAAAGCTGTAGAAACAGCAGTGATGTCTGCAAGTACGGTAAATCATAAGGTTAGGGAGAAACACTGGATCTCAGCAGCGTCTACCGCACTGACAGATGCTCGAAAACTCATTTCATCTGGCTCTGAACATAACGAAGAGCGGAGTCAGCTTAAGCGTAAGCTGACTAGAAGCCTACGCAAAGATCGTGAACAGTGGTGGGTAGCGAAAGCAAGAGAGATGGAAAAGGCAGCGGCAATAGGTAACAGCAGGCAACTGTTCAGACTTGTTAAGGAAACCGGGATTAGGAACCCAACTGTTAGCGAAACAATCTCAGAGAAAGATGGACATATTATTCATTCTCAACCAAGGAGATTGGATCAATGGGCAGAACACTTTAGGATCAGTTCAACTGGCCTTCAGCCACACTTCGCTTTCCCACGATCTCCAGTCGACCTGAATGGTAAGTTGATGTAAGTCCTCCGACTCTTCACAAAGTTGAAAAAGCTATAGGAAATCTGAAGCGTGGGAGAGCAGCAGGCCCTGACAAGTTTACCCCTGAGATTTTCAAGGATGGCGGTCCAGTATTAGCAGCGAGATTGACTGAGGTCTTAGGTAGGATCTGGGAACTGGACGTAATCCCATCTTACTGGTCTCAATCACTGATTGTGCCAGTCTATAAGAAAGAACAAAAGTCTTCTTGTAACAAGCACAGAGGAATTAGTTTGACTAATATAGTGTCTAAAATATTAGCTTCAATAATACTTCGACGTCTAACCAAAGCTCGTGAAGAGCAGACTAGAGAAAACCAGGCTGGTTCTCGACCTGGACGTGGTTGTATAGATCAGATATTCACACTACGTCAGGTCCTAGAACATAGACACACATTCAGACGCCCCACAATGGTAGTATTTCTCGACCTTAAGGCGGCATTTGACTCTGTTGATCGTGAGGTTCTATGGCAGTGTTTGTCACTGAAAGGAGTACCAAAGAAATACATCAACCTTATAAAGGCTCTCTACTCGAACACAACTGGTCGAGTGAGAGCTTATGGTGAACTGTCGTCAGAACTGATTACCTCAAGTGGTGTTCGTCAGGGCTGTCCACTCTCTCCATTCTTGTTTAACTTTGCCGTTGACGTGCTTTTAGAAATAACACTTTCCTCATCTAAATTTCCAGGAGTTGAACTTCTACCGGGAGATCCACTTGTTGACTTAGAATATGCCGATGACATAGTTCTATTTAGTGAAGACGCTGACAGAATGCAGAGTCTGCTGACCACTCTAAGCAACAATGCAAGCATGTTCGGTATGCGATTTTCTCCCTCGAAATGCAAAATGTTGCTTCAGGATTGGGTTTTGTCGACACCCGAACTAGTGATAGGGAGTGACGTTGTTGAGCGTGTCGACCGCTTCACTTATCTCGGAAGTCGCATCAGCCCTTGTGGTCTGGTGTGTGACGAAATCTCAGCACGGATACAGAAAGCTCGACTAACTTTTGCCAACTTGCGTCATTTGTGGCATAGGCGACATATCCGTCTATCAACCTAACGATGTGTTTACTGCGCAGCAGTTCTTTCCGTCCTACTTTATGGCAGTGAAACATGGCCGGTAAGAGTAGAGGATATTCGTAGGTTACTAGTATTTGACCATAGGTGTCTTCGAAACATCGCTCGTATATCCTGGGACCACCGAGTAAGTAATGCAGTTGTTATGAAACGGGTACTAGGTAAGGATGGCAAATCAATTGGTGAAGTAGTGAAACTTAATCAGTTGAGATGGCTGGGACATGTGTTGCGCATGCCCGACCACCGACTGCTCCGACGTGCTATGTTTTCTGGTGTAGGAGTAGGTTGGAAGAAACCTAGGGGCGACCAGACCAAAACATGGCACAAATCCATGAAATCACTGACAAGTGGACTGAGTCATGTTGGTAGGTGTAGACTACCTGGTTGGGGACCGCGAGATGATAGCAACCGATGGTTAGAGACCTTGAGTGACATGGCTCAAAATCGTTTGCAATGGCGCAGGTGCATCCACTCTTTGTGTTCTCTCAAACTCTAATCTTCTGAATTCTTCATGTCCTTTATTTTCTTTTCCAATTTATGCCACTGGATTATACTCCTTTAATAACATCATTAAACCTTAATGTCCCCTATCTCTACTTATACTTTCAGTACCTCTACCACTATGGGATTTGAATCGATAACTGAATCTCTGTGCTAATGGGGTATGGCGACTCGAACTGATGTACGTACATACGAAGTTCCACGTTGTTACTGACTGACTGACTTTAGCTGAACTTCTGATTCATTGTTTATTCTTTTAGTTTACTATTTTCATTAAGTTACAAGGTCATATTTTTTGTTATATATACATACAATTGTAGTATTACTATCTTGAACTATTTGAATATTAAGCTTTTTCCAGAATTTCCGACTTCTCTTCCATGAATTAAGTGAAGGATAATTGTTGGAGCTTTGTGTAGTAGTCGTTCGACTTATTCAAGTCGCATAGATCCCATTTTGTATTAGAACGATTAAAGTAATCATTCTCAAAACACAGCATATATATCTGGTGCCCGCTTGTACCAATATTTATGTGTTCAAATAAATAACACAGATGTCAAATTTTATTTTTTGTGTTTTGAAACATCGTGCAAATTTTCTATAGCAACTAAATTAAAGTACTGACCAAAGAAAAAATAATATCGATGAAAAAAAAGTAATTTTGTTGAAAAACATGACTTATCTATTGAAACTAACACACCATCATAATAAGCTTGCTTACCTTAAAACTTAATCCATCGCATATGAATTTCCCAGGTTTTAATAGAGAATCTTTTGGGTCTTTAGTGTAGTAAGTGAATTTCACATCACGAAATTCTACAGATGAATTAAAACGATCAATGTGTATATTTGGTGCATTCGGTAAGGACTATAATCATACCATTCAATTTTCATGTGTGTTTGAAAGAACAGTAAAGCAATTAAATCAGTGAACACATAGAAAACAAGTGATAATTGTTTGATTTACAATAAAATGACATTAAACAAAAAATCACCATATAAATTAAAATCAATTCATAAGGTAATGAAGATAATGTGTCCAGAAATCAGACTAATGTGGAAGATAGTCAATGAAGTCATTGACTGGTAGACTTGAGCTATGGTGTAGGTGAGGCTCAGACAATCTGGTTAAGGTCCATGTGAATATCGTAAGTAATAGTTAAAGATGTTGAATGACAGAGCTCAGAATCGGTGCTAGCGATGCGGATCGATTCACTGTGTGTCTTCTGTTAAATCCTGAGTTTTATAATAACTTTATACTTTTTCTTATTGCACGAACTCATTCTTCTCGAATCACATTTCGTCCAGACAAGTTGGCTGGACGAAACGTTGGAATTATTTTAAATTTCAATCGCTGAGATTGTTTCAAATATAATTTACATATATAATGACTTCTCTATACTCGGCACCCAATATCTATCAAACTATTCGTTCTAATCTTGACGAATATTCGTATAAAATATATTACTGATATTGTTACCAATTCTACTACCATTAAAAAATACAGTAACACAACTTCGTGTTTAAAGTATCAGTTAGTCTCTACTAAAAATTAGTAATGATTGGATTTCAACTGAAATAAAAACTAACATCAAAAATCATTTTAAAACATCGGTCCCGAACATATTTTATAACATCTTTACCTTGGATAAACGCATATCAAACTGCAGTTTAAAACAACTACGTAACTAAATTTCCAATGTAAATTTGAATATTAAAGTAGAGTACAATGAATCGAAAACAAAGAACTGATGTATATTTTAACATTCAATAAGTCAAAGCAGATTAACCTCAAAAAGCAACTTCTCAAGAATATATATTGATTTCAATAAATTTCACTCCATAGTTAAAATGAATTTTTCTAAAAAAAAATTTCAGGTCAAATTAAAAAATAGAGGATCAAAAAAATATGATCAATAAAAACTAGGCTCGTTTTATCATTACACATTTTAGTCTAAAATTATCAAACAAATGACCTGGACTTTATAGTTGTTTTCCATTTATGAAAAAGAACTATTTTATTACTGTGAACAACAACATGTTATTTAACAAATACACATTTCGTGTAAGCTTAAAAGCCTGTTTATATACATCTTTCATTTGAGGAAGCATATGTTTATTAGCTTGTCAATTTGAAAATGTATAGTTTGAACAGAGCATTTGTGATAGTTGTTTTCTGGTTAATTTGTTTTGGTTGTTCAAATGAAAGATAAACTACTTAGACCTATTGTAGTGAACGAAGACGGAGGCGGAGACAACGAAATCTATTTAAACACAAAATTACAGAATATCTTAGTAAAATCTGAGAACCAAACAGTAAATATTTCATTTGCAAAATATACATCAATTGGCTCAGACTTAACTGTTCCTTCGTTTCAATACCAATCACTCTCTGTTCTTGTTATCTTCGATTTTCTTAACCTTCGAATGCCAGGCATTCCACTTTCAATCGGTGAAACATACTACTTTTATTTGTCGAAATCAGTAACACATACCACATTATCACTTAAATAATTACTAGGTAGTAAAGATTTATAGTTCAGGAGGATAACTTTGGTGGAATTGTGTTTTCTGAGATTAGTGATGTGATCGTGAAGATTTAAATGTCTGCCTAAACAACATCACCAACACAGACTTCAGGTAGAATTGAGCTATTCGAATTTTACCACATATAACTGACAGCTTGTTCAGATACCTCACATCTGGTTGAAGTTTGTGCTCATAATGTTTGGGCAGACAATGAAATCTCCACGATTATAGCAGCCAACTGAGAGGACACAGATCCGCCGAAATATTGTTTCTTACTTGTGACTCCCAATGTAGAAATAAGTATGTTGAACATATTTCTAATAAGGAAATTCGTGCCCCCGAATGCGGAGTGGGATGAGTCAGCTCTCCCTTTCGAAATGCTCTTATATAGCGACGTGCATACAACAACTGCCAGGCAAGTCCGATTCACTGCCTTCTCGCGGTATTACTGTTGTGTACGAAACTAAGGGGACGAAAAGCGAATGTCCGGCGCTTTAACCGGGTTGGTGGACACAGAGGGAAGTTGGGAACCCTGATTCCAAACCAATGGTGCACATGGACTCCAGGATTCTGAAGGAACAAATGGCGTATGAACCTATTGTTGGCCATGAGACTGCATCTTCTGACATTGCTCCACTGCCTTCTGGACTAGACATTTAGGTCGAAGGCTCAGGGTGTGGCCTCCTAAGAAAACCACCTGCTTCTGTTTGGGCACTCGGGCAGTAGCCCAGTCCTCACACAAATCGAAGGATTTATGTGTCGCATATCTATTTGATGCCTCCTTGTACCAATGTTAATGTGTTTAAATAAGTAAATAAGGAAATTCGTAGAGGTCTACTTAAGCGGTTTCTACCATAATTTTGCAAGGTTCAAAAAACAAAACAGAACCGGAAAAAAATTTTATGATATTCGATAGTGGTAAAAATTACCCTTATGTTCAAGAAAGTGACTATATTACCTTGTTCCGAATTATATTACCACAGTTATTTTTCAAGTCATTGGCCATGTGTCTGAGTTAATCTTGTACATATAGTTAGTGTAATTGACAGTTTTAATAGTGTTGAATTGTGTGATATCTAGTCACAATATTTCTAACTGACTGATACATCACGTACATCATTGAGATTTTAAAGTTTGATAAATATTCAGATTCGCTTTATAAAATGATAATTAAGAAAAATTGTAGTAATTAGTAGCATTCCCAGTGTTCAATAAATGTATTGTACCCAGCACTTCCGACCATTTTTCCGTTAGTGTAGTGAGTGTTCTATAGTGTTATTTTCATTAAAGCTTCCAATCCGAGATCTAACTTTTATTGCATTTATGTTTTTCATATGACAAGTTAAGTTGCACTACACTAACATGTTCATGAGTAGCTTTGGACGATGGAAATGAAATCTTTGATAAAATTTACAGTTAAATATGCAGTATGTATCCAATAAATAGACAGAAAAATAACCTCAATTACTGTGCACAACACATCTAGTGAACATTGAAAACGTTGTAGACAACCCTAGCTTATTAGGATATAAATTACCATATAATGATGTGAGACAGCTTCGCAAAGATTTCTTACCTTTTTGAAAGTAATTTTCACTACGACATGAAATCAGGTCGAGAACCATTGAAGATCAAGGAAATTTGAAAAGCCGTTTAATCCATCGGCTTCAGAACTTCTCTGTAATGCATGACTCAGGGACTGCGCATGTGATTGAAATAATTTTTTAGATCTTGTAGAGAGTATGATATCAATGAAATATTATTAAATTGTTATCCAATGATCGATGTTTTTTTAACTTAGTATGACAGCATGATACTTACCTAGTAGTATCACAGTTAGCTAAAACTATTTCACTCTCACATATCACTATTTCTCATTAGAACTACGAGAAATCCACATTGAGAGGTTATTTCCTATTGGGCATATGAACACTAGCAGGTTAAGAGGGCTAAACAGAGATGTGTGTATTGTGAAGGTGTCTTCCATCACAAAACAATACTAAGTCGAAAATCAAGAAAATTACGATCTAAATTTTTACCAAATTACTTTTTAAAGTGAACACACACTAACTTACACGAACTGTTGGAGCAAGTTCTAATAGTGTAAACATAGTTGACATATCAATTAAAGATTGCCGAACTTCACGATATACTGTACCCAAAAAATTCAATGGTATCGATAGTTGGAATAATAAACCGTTTACGAGAACAAGATCTCCCACAGTCAAAGATTTAGCTAAACTACTTATCCCAGTAGCTTCGAGAACATGAGCAGCTGTTGTTGGATCAGTTAAACCGGAAGCAACTTGATTTGCAACTGTTATCATTGTAGCAGCTAAGCCAACAGAGAATATAGCAGCCTGACCGAAGTTAAGTACAGCAAGACTAGTTGTTGTTCTAATACTAGCCTCTTCGTATTGAGCTTGAAGTTTGTCATAAAGTTCTGCTTCACGCTCTTCGTTATTGAAGTACTAAATAAATAACAAATCGATTTTTTAAAATAACGAGAAGTTAATAGGATGTTAATCAACCATAACAGGGTTATAAAAATAGAACGAAAATTGTTAAAGGGGCTTATCGAGGTTTTAATGTTTTTCACTGGAGTAAATAATGGTCAACTCACCGCATTTGTAACATTTATATCTGTTGTAATTAGTAAGGTACAATAAAAAAAAATTTACGACCGATCCAAAAGCTACTGCACTTGATATTAAATATGGATCGCTGCAAAGTAAGGTAATTTAACTTGTGATCGTGAACATGGTGATTATGAGTGTTATCACAAATGTGTGTGTGATTGTCACAGCTCGTTTGCACTCGAATCACGTTTTTCACCACCCCAAGTTAAACTGAGTTTAATCTAACTTGTAGACCAGAGTGTAATGTTTGCTTAATCAGTAGAAATAAAAAATAATAATAGCGAAAAAATGGAACTTTGAAGACTATTTTAATTGAGTATATTTAGGTATATTTAGATAAACATAGTAAATTTGCTGGAGTTGTTCCTGTTTTGATTAGGAAGGCTAGGGGCAGAAACAAGTTTCATGGGCCAGTCAGGGTTAGTATATTAGTAAGCACTGTGATGATTAACGTAAGCGAGCTCATTATTAGCACACTCAACAAATTAGTGATTCTAATAAATAACCTTATCGAGACCGACTTCCGACCATAAATGATGTCCATCTTCTATGCATTTAAAGAAACATTGTTACTCTTACTTTTACAGTTTCATAATTAATAAGTGAGTCAGTAGCTTGACTTGCAGCTCGTCCATCTGCCTTATTCATTTGAACACGAAATTGAGTACGCCAACGTGTAACAGCAAATGTAAATGCTGTATAAGCAGCTATGCAGCTTAGTGCAATTGTACTGGCCGCTACTCCATATTTATAATACTAAACAAGAAAACAACATAAAAAACGGAAATTAGAATGCAATATTCAAATAAAATTTGTGAAGACTCGCATTTTATCACTTCGTATATCAGAATAAATATAAAGTATTAAAGATATTTACTTTTATATAAGATAGAACGACGAAAATTTAAAGCGTGAAAAAAGACTATTAATTAAAAGACACACTTTATACCCAAATACATAATAAAATTTTCAAACATCTATTTATACACAGCTAGTTAACAGGTAACTACTGAACATCAGTTAGCGGTACCATTCTGTCTAATGTTGAACGAGATGTATTAATGCATAAATTAATGATACAATTGGCAATCCAACTTCTAACAATTTTATATTTGATTGTTGGTTTTATTTTCTCTTTCCTGTCGGTTATAAAATCCTTTCTTGACTTTTCTCTTATAATACTGATAACTTTTGAATCTTTTCATTCTTCATTAATTTTGTCGGTGGCTGAGACCACAGTATTACACATCCGTAGTCACCGCTTAATCCAATGTAAAATGCTTGCTAAGTGCAGGTTAGAAAAAGACTGGAGGCGACATAGTATCATTTCATGGATCTATTAACTGTTGATTCGAGCTATTGGGAGAGGTTGCGAGTTACTGGCTAAGGTTATACAATAATTGTAACGCATATATATAACTTCACAGCGAGAGGAAAATTAAGTGGAGGAGGCAGGATAATCAAATCAATTCCAATGAAAAGCTAAAATAGAAATTGTGGTTCAAAAAGAAACGAATAATCTCAGAGAATCAGAACCGCAGGCGATGATATTGAACTCACTGTTTAGATGAACCTCACCTAAAATCTCCAGCTATATGTTACAATTATTGTATAACCTTAACCAATAACGATTGTTTGTCGTGGTGTAACAAACAACTGATTGATAGGAAAGTTTGTATAAAGACTAAGAAACCCAATGTTCGGAGCGTATTAACGAGCTGATTTACACACGTTAGTGAGTGTAGTTCTCTATACATACGAAACGCAACTTCTCCAAGTTGGGGATGTTGAGTGACTGTCTCCGAAGGATCGATAACTTCTAGTAACAACACCATATTAGTACTGCAGACGTGCGGGCACAGTTACGATAATTCGATTGGTGTCACTATCTTGAAACATCAACTTCGGTGCCTTGGACATGTCTTACGAATGTCATCCCAGCGAACCCCACATCGTGCATCATTTGCCGATGCTGAGAATGGCTGTAAAAAGCAGAGGTGGTCAGTTCATAACATTGTACTGTGGTATGAAAGAAAGCTGTACAGGACTGGCATCTGTCGTTCCTTCACGACTGCCTAGTTGGAGTCCTAGAGATAGCGCAACACAGTGACTCGAGACATTATCAGACATGGCTCAGAATCAAAGCCAATGACGGTGTTGCTGTAATTTTTTTTCACATTCTTCATATAAGTGAACCTTAACTGAAAGGATTCTTTCTGGTTGTATTTTTCTTAACAGAACTACTTTTATTATTCGTTTTTACCGATTCACTCATTTTCATGTACCTATTGTTTCTTTAAGTTTATTATACTCACCTTCCTTTCCCTATCCCCTTTACAATTTCACTTTTTATTGTGTGGTGCAAGTATATTATTGTGTTCCTTTGTACCAATATGTGTGTTTAAATAATAATAATAAAAGTTGAGTTGACTTTTAATGACAAACATGAGAATTCCAGTGACAAGTTACTGTTTTCCATCAATTCATATTTTTTAGTAAGCCATGGATTTGACAAAATTGCTTTACTATTTTTTAAACCAATCTACTATTAAAGATATAAAGTAATAATGCACTAGATCCTATGACTGAAAATTACATGACATCATAACACTAATCTTGAAATGTACAAAAACAATTAATAACACCCTCCAGTCAGATAACCATAAAGTTACTGTTCTCAATAATCTATATTTCACTATATAAGTAAAATATGAGTGAGTCTTTGAACTACCTACAAATAGTCATGTAATCTTTTGTTATCTCATTTTTTCGTTCATACGGGCTGATATATTGGTGGCTTGAAAGATTTGTTTCAATGGACTATCCTATTTTTAGATTATTTAGTAAGGAGAAAGACGAGTGAACAAATTTATTAGGCACATGTTCAGCATCAAGTACAGATTCACCTACTTTACTTCGAGCTATATTCTAATTGTGTGAGGGCTAATGATACTACGTGATTGTTGGAACCGACGTAAGTGGAGTAAGATTAAAACCTGTGACTTAGTGACTGAGATCTAAATGCTTCAAATATCGAATCATCCCTACACTTAAAAATGGCAAAAGTTTCAATAATTTACAAATAAATAATGTGAGCTTAAATGTTAATATTGTACAATGCCCAAAAGGTAAAACATTAAACTATATAGTTGTCAAAAATCAATTAATAATTAGTTTTGTTTACCCATATAATCGATAAAACTGAAAATAAAGTTTTTCGCAGTCAAAGGTTACACAACTAACCATTTAATACAATAAAAATATAAAAATTAATTGAAAGTATTTAGCAAATACAACACTGAAATATTTGACAAGATATGAAGCCAATGATGGGAAATTCTTAAAAGTGAAATTTATCTACAGTATTAATTTGATTATGCCTGCCAAATGATAAGCTAACTAGAAATTTGTTTCAGTAAAAAAAATACTACTGTTATAATTCTCTCGTATTACAACCCAGCTATGCCTATTGCTTAGTATTCTCGGACACCAATTCACTCGACAAGTCACCAAATCAGAACACGGTTGAACAGGAATGAGATTATATTCCAAATAACAAGGTTAGATGAAGTAAGAAGCACAATAGGAAGAACGTTAGTATATTTATAGTTTTTACATGAGAAGATTCTAGAGCGTTCTTCAAGTATCGACTAGTGCTGATTGGATAAGAATTAGTCAATCAATGCGCACCAAAGCAATCATGCATTGAGCATGCTTCTTTCCAATCTATGTCCTGCTAACAACTACATAACTTTCTTTTGAGTACTGAAAAACTGATTAAAGTTAAGCCAGTCGCAAAACAATCATTTATAACATTACGTGCTATAATTTTGAGAATTAATTAACGTAAATGATGTTAAGAAAACTCGCAAAGAATTCACAATTCCAAAGATAAGGTTTATATAAATGAATGTAATAACCATTAATTAGTTTATTCTTGATTTCATAAAAACCACTAAGAGTAAACAGCAAACATTTTAGCAAAAAAACATTATTTTGTTGTTCATTTATTAAGAAAGCCAGGAATCCTAACCACCCCCAAATGCCCTGGTACGGCCGAGAGTGGGGAGAGTCCGCTCTCCCTCTCGAAATGCTCTCACATGGCCATGCGTATATAGCCTCTGCCAGGGAAGTCCTACTCACTGCCTTCTCGTGGCATTACTGTTGTTTACGAAAATGAGAGGACGAAAAGCGAATGTCCGGCGCTTTAACCGGATCCCAAACCAATGGTGCACATGGGCTTCAGCATCCTGCCTGAGGGAACAAATGGCGTATGAGCCAATCGTTGGTCACCGGCTACCATGGGACTGCATCTCCTCACGATGCTCCACTGCCTTGTGGGTCAGACCTTCAGGTCGAAGGCTCGGGGTGTGGCCCCCTAAGAAAACCACCTGCTTCGGTTTGGGCACCCGGGCAGTATCACAGCCCTCACACAAATCAATTGAGATTCGTGTGGCGCATATGTACTTGGTGCTTCCTTGTACCTATACTTATGTGTTAAAATAAATAAATAATACATTTATTAAGAAGTACAAACTTTTCCATAATAGAAGCACAGAAAACATTTACACTTTTAAATAAAAATGAGAAACAAGATACAATCTTACCAAAATTCCTGTTACGACAGCAACTTCAAATGTAGTGGGAAATAAATTGAAAACCATAGCAGTCAATAGAAAATTTATTCCCCTAGCACCACGATCAATTGCTTTACCTAATGCGCCAGTTCTTCTTCCAAGATGATAACTTAAATCAAGATTGTGCATATGTCGAAATACTTGAACTCCGACTTCTCGAATTGAAGAAAGAGCAGCTTTAGCAAAAACTGCAGTACGTAATTCATTTAAACCAGAAGCAGTAGCTCTAAACAAACCATCTGTGAACAAAACAGAAGATAAGTTGAAAGAATTATAAATAGTAATAAAAAGGACGAACTAGAAAGGGTTGTAAATAGTAATGAATTTAAAATTTGGGATAAATTATCATTATGTACTCGGTGTAACTACAAGTGTTTTGCACATAGTTCTGAATAAGACTTTTTACTAGACCGATAGTAACACCATATTAAGAAGCTAAACCGACACGAGTGAGGTGGAATTTCAACCTGCTCTCCCATAGTTGAAAATCTGGTACGCTTCTTTACCATAAAGTTGTCGTTACAATTATTTACCGTAAATAAATTTAAGTGAATTGATCAGCCGGTTATATAAAACGTTGAAGAGTAATAAGATACACTAGTCTAATTGAATAAATAAGAACTTCGTCACCATAAATGCTTTTAATTCGGAGATATTCGTCACTTTAAGTTGCCCTTATTTTCAGTATTACAAGTACTTCACATAAGACATGAAACTACCAGACAAACTTATAAAAGAAAGAAGCAAACAAGTGATGGAATTCGTAACTACAAGTTGATTTCGGATCAAAAATCAAAGTATTTCCAGTAAATTATTTCGTAACTAAAAGTAATGAATAGATCTAGGCAATGACAATCTATCAAGGGTGACAGGCCACAATGAAGCAGATACATTTATTCTCTGTTTATTATTATTATCTTATCTTTAATATGAACTGATACTCCTTATTTCACGAATTTGTTCCTTGTTTTAAACTGTATTTCTCATTCCTAGTATTATTTTAATTATGAATGACATCAAAACCAATTCTGTTACCATGATATTCATCTTAATTCTATCTTGCTATGCTGCTGCAGTGTGAAGAAATGGGTTGGTAGAGATTCGGACTGTGTTACGTTTCCCATAGATCGTTAATGTTTTGGCTTACTTATAGTATTCACGAAAGTAAATATTTATACAATTACACTTTACAAACATATCTTATTTCACTTAACAAAAAGGGATTCACATTACAAACTGACTATAAATAGTTGTATGTAACTACATCTTGTCCTGCTCTCATGGTAAGGCAACTTGGCCAAACCAGCATTTATCCCAGGCTCTATATCGATTATGAATACCGTCCGGATCATTACAACACGAAACAATGGATATAAGAGTACAAGCAATCTCACCCACCTATTTACACTGTATATAAAACCAGAAAATGAAATGATAACTAAACGCGCAATTCTAGTCATATTGGATACTTCGTTTTCATTCAAATAATCAATTCTGGACACATAATTGCACATTTTACACACACTTGATTGTTTATTTAATTATATGATTTTAATTTTGTAAACTATTTAAATTCTGTACATTTGCATACCACTTCACATTCAACAGGTTTCATTTCATACGACTGCATTGTCTGTTCGGGTTTTTCGATTACTAATGATCTGAGTACGATTCATGTACCAGTAATACTCGCGTTCTCATTGTGTTAATGCAGTCGTGATTATTGTCAAAGATGAAGTGTGATTAGGGATCGGAATTCATAATAAAAATAGCACACAACATGAGATGCCAATGACGGGATATGATAATACTGTCGATAACATAGAGTGAGACAAATAATCCCAAAAGTAAAGATTGAAAATAATATTTTCAACATCTAAATTAATGACAACAAAACTGTATCAAAACCTGCTAATTAAATAGTAAGAAATGGCCAAAGTACTTTTATTTATTGTCTCCAGCATATTGTCCTGAATTATAATGGGTTTATTCTTAATACGTAGCAGCTATGGCTAAAAAAATGAGTTCACCTTTCCAAAACAAGTACGCTGATAAGGATAGCAGTAAAATCAATTAAAGCCAAAACTGTTTGAACATTATTATCGTGAAAGCATGAACATGGCATTTAAGCAACATGACTTAAAATAATACTATGAGAACTCCTTTAATGCTAAACTTGTATTGACAAAAATTACTGTTAATAAATAATGTACTGGTTCCTAGTAGGATAACGAAACAGGTGGGTAGAACACTTCAAAGAACTCTTGAATCGACCAGCCCCACTGAACCCACCCAACATCGAAGCAGCACTCACGGACCTCTCAATCGATGTTGGTCCACCAACAATTGAAGCGATCAGCATGGCTATCAGACAAATCAAATGTGGCAAAGCAGCAGGATTAGAAAGCATTTCAGCAGAGGCACTGAAAGCAGACGTAGCGGTAACTGCAAGGATACTCCACATTCTCTTCAATAAGATTTGGGATGAGAAACAAGTACCAAAAGACTGGAAAGAAGGACTTCTGGTCAAAATACCAAAGAAAGGCGATCTCAGCAACTGTGACAACTACAGGGGCATCACTCTTCTCTCAATACCAGGAAAAGTCTTCAACAGGGTATTGTTAAACAGGATGAAGAACTCCGTAGACGCCCAACTTCGAGACTAACAGGCAGGATTCCGTAAAGATAGATCGTGTACAGACCAAATCGCAACTCTACGGATCATTGAGGAACAATCAATTGAATGGAATTCATCACTCTATATCAACTTCATTGACTACGAAAAAGCATTTGATAGCGTGGACAGAACCCTATGAAAGCTTCTTCGACACTACGGCGTGCCTGAGAAGATAGTCAATATCATACAGAATTCCTATGAAGGATTAAACTGCAAAATCGTTCATGGAGGCCAGTTGACAAACTTGTTCGAAGTAAAGACCGGTGTCAGGTAAGGTTGCTTACTCTCACCCTTTCTCTTTGTCCTGGTGATCGACTGGATCATGAAGAAGTCAACATCTGAAGGGAAGCACAGGATACAGTGGATATCTAGGATGCAATTAGATGATCTAGACTTCGCAGATGATCTGGCTCTTCTATCGCATACGCAACAACAAATGCAGGAGAAGACGACCAGTGTAGCAGCAGCCTCAGCAGCAATAGGTCTCAATATACACAAAGGGGAAAGCAAGATTCTCCGATACAACACAGCATGCACCAATTCTATCAAAATTGATGGAGAAGATTCGGAAGATGTACAAACCTTTACATATTTGGGCAGCATCATCGATGAACACGGTGGATCTGATGCAGATGTGAAGGCACGGATCGGCAAAGCAAGAGCAGCATATTTACAACTGAAGAACATCTGGAACACAAAACAACCGTTTGTCGAACAACACCAAGGTCAGAATTTTCAATACAAATGTTAGGACAGTTCTACTGTATGAGGCCGAAACCTGGAAAACCACGAAAGCCAGTATCCAGAAGATACAGGTGTTTATTAACAGTTGTCTACACAAAATACTTGGGATCCGTTGGCCGGACACTATCAGCAACAACCTACTGTGGGAGAGAACAAATCAGATCCCAGTGGAGGAAGAAATCAAGAAGAAGCGCTGGAAGTGGATAGGACACACACTGAGGAAAGCACCGAACTGCGTCACAAGACAAGCCCTCACATGGAATCCTCAAGGTCGAAGGAGGAGAGGAAGACCAAAGAATACATTACGCCGGGAAATGGAGCTAGACATGAGAAAAATGAACAAGAACTGGATGGAACTCGAAAAGAAGGCCCAGGACAGAGTGGGTTGGAGAATGCTGGTCGGCATCCTATGCTCCATTGGGAGTAACAGGCGTAAGTAGTAGGATCTAAGGCTATGTTAGTGAAAATAATTTTGCAGACTTCAGAGAATATGCATAAAAAATTTTGGAAGATGGTGACTCTCTTATTCAATCCAAGCATATTTGTTATTGGACATTCTTATTATTGAGTAAACATATGACATAATTAACTTCTTTTTCTGTTTCTTACAAAAGATATGTTGGTCAAGTATACCGTTTGAAATTTATACTCTTACCAATAAAAACGAAATAAATTGCTTACACGAAATTAAAATAGTTGTAGCTGCCACACTAGGACTTGTATCACCTAATAGTAGTGGGGTTTCTCCTGACAAACAGTCCACTGCAATTTTGAAAACAAATGGAACCAAAACATTAACAAATTTGGAAGATAATAATAACAACATTGCCGCGACTACACGCAGTCGGATTTCCGGTCTATCCCTTGGCCAAACATATTTTAGAAGTCGTCTAATAATAGTCCAGTCAGATAAAATCTAAATGAAATTAAAATGCAGACAAATATATCAGAGTTAATAATTACAAGAACGAAAAGCCGAAAACTGATGAGCCCCACTTCAGAAAAACGATAGAAATAAAAAGAACTTACATGGCAATTGATAGCTAGCCCGTATTTTAATCAATGTAACGGCTGATTTTTCGTCAAATAGGTTGATTGGAATACAAAGTAGTGTAGCATATTTTACTTTAGGATGTCTTGTAACACAAAGCAATTTTCTGAACTAATAACGTCAAAATATAAGATAGCCTAGAAGCTTGCATGACAATGTTCTGGTTTACACCACACAATATCACAAAAGGACAAAGGTATTATTGAAAACGGAGACAATGGATGAGTGGGCAGTGGATAAAAAGAACGTCTGACTGAACATGAAAACTGAGCGAATCTTTATTGAGATTTTTGTGACGTATATATCCTGAAAATATTACATAATGAACTCAAAAACTTTGTGGCTGACAGTTAATAAGTTTGTACTGTTCCAGACTAGACGGTCGACAAAATCAAATTATGTTAATCAGGGTTCCGATATGAAACCGAGTCCTTGAAAGCCAAGTATTTTGAGTTATCAACGTTTCCTATTGGAAGATATGTTCACAGACACTCCTATCAGTACAACGAGCCAACGCATTAAGAGAGGAAAACATATTTGGTTGCTAACAAACCTAATACAGTAGATGAGAACTGAAAACTGACTCACTAGGTAGGTCAAATAGTTTGCTTTCCATACAATGGGTACAATAAATAATTATGAACAACGCGACCAAAATACTTAATAAACACATAATATTCTACAATTTGTTGCTGTGTTTCCAGGTTTGAATGATTTACACAAGTACGACTAAGCTGTCAAATATCAATGAACAAGCTGACTCCAAGACAGAACTAGACAAAGACACTTCATGAAACTAGACTAAAAATCCTTATGATGTGTTAATCCCATAGCAATCTCATAAATGTGACCATTACCCGTAAAAGTTATGCTAAGAAAGTTTTCTATAGTTATAATGAGGCAGTCATGCATACCTTCCGATTTAATTATTCGATTACAAAAGAATGCAACACTAAATTGTTGGGAATTTCATGATTTAACTTACAGCTTTTTGTTCCAAAGCTGGATTTGATAAATTATCTGAAGAACCATGAGAGTGTTGCAACCTCAAAGTTAAAGCTCCAGTCGGGCGAAAACGAAGTAAATCGCCAGGTTTGTAAAGGACTTTTTGCCTTCCATTTGCATTATGAAATGCACTGGAAAGCACTCCGCATGCTGACTTATTGGCTAAAAGTTGGGAAAATGCAGTACTTCTGAATACATATTTATGAGTAGTAACCAGTATTTTCGGAGTTCCGTTGATCATTGCAAATCAAAAAAATAAAAAATATCCATATGAAAATGCCATGTGACACCCATTTCCCAAAGCCATCAAGTAAATCCACGTAGCTTAGTGGTGTTTAGACTTGAGGAGTCTTCATGCGAGCTACAGTTGTAACGTTCAATCTTTGGTAGGTTTGCGTCTAGCCTGAAGACACCTTGTGTGCTGAGGGAATGTTAGCAGCAGGATTATCTGGAAGAGAACAAGAGAAAAAGTGAGCCGACAACTCATTGGACACATAAAATGGATTTACATTAAAAACGAAAGCAAATGACAACGATCATTAATGACACGAGCGTGAGATTAAGACAATTTGATAAAGGAGACTAGAATTTGATAGCGTAAGTTTTCGAACGTGTAAGCCACCTGCGTCCTTGAATGTAAGAATATTTATATTTTGCGCTAGTGATATGTGAGCTCTCCACTATCCAATATCTTTGTCACGAGTTCGCATTGACCGATTGGTTTGATTAATTAGTAATACAGAATACCAGATCGAAAGAGTAGGTGGTGAAACATAAATGATGATAAGAGAGACAGGAAGTAGTTAGTGATTTAACGTAACGATAATTTATGAAACACAATAAACAGTTGGTCCAAGAGGGATATGATAATCCATAAGTTCTTGTCTGTCAAGTCCCCTCTTAAAGCTGTCCACCAATTTCAGTGGTTCTGATCGGAATGAAAGAAGCTTTCGCTTAACGGGATTCCGTGTCTAGTAGCAGTAGACCACCAATACCTCCATGCAGGAACCTAGGGATATTAACGATAATAGAGGAAAACAAAGAAATTGGTTAATCATAATAAGATGTTATCTTTAGTCCTTAGGTATAGGTCCAGTGTCCTCCTAAAGGACTCCTGAGAAGTCGCTTGGACTAGTTCAGACGGCAGCGAATTCCAGCATTTGACAACTCTTAAGGAGTAAATGTTGTGTCTGCAGTCCGTTCTACTATGTTGTATCTATAATTTCTGGGTGTTACCCCAAGCCCCTGCTTAAAAAAGGACAGTGAGCTTCTGGAAAAGGTTCAGAGAACAGCAACTAAGCTGATTCCCGTAAAATCGAAGCTCCCGTATGATGCTCGACTGGCTAAAAACCTATTCCAGTTGTCACTTTGAAGAACTCGAGGTGATCTGACTACAGTTTTCAAATTACTTAGTCGTAAATTTGCACCCGATATGCACTTTTTTTTCTGTCTTCCAAAACAGATAATTTACGATGATACTCCAAAAACGTTCACAGGCTGAGAACAATTTACCTGTCAGCTGACTATCGACTTTCCCATCGAATCATCAACTAGTGGAATTCATTACCTCAGCACGTGGTTGAGGCCCCATCCATCGACACTTTCACGAGAAAGTTGGATCAACTGAGAGTCAGTCAATGACAATACTAACATAGGCCATCAAGCCCCCTATTCCTTCCAAACAGAAACTTAAACTGAACATGAAGGATGCCCAAAATCCGTGAACATTTACCCATTGAAATATAGGCGTCTTAGAGCTGTCCTTTTATGAACTTACAGAATCTTAAATATTACAGGGCATCCCCTTAAACACCTACTTAAGTTAATTCTCAACACAAACCTTATGAGTAACACCAAGAGACTGGAGACACAAAATAGCAGGATGGACAATCGACACACCCACTACTTCTTAAAATTAGTCAAATGCTGGGATTCGTTGCCAGCTGAGCTAGTCCAAGTGACTTCCAAGGAGTCCTTTGAGAGAGAACTTGACATATCCTTAAAAGATAAGGACAATATCTCATCATGATTTGCCAATGGTTTCCTCTTTTATCGTCAATTTACCTAGGTTCTTACCTGGAGGTATTGGTGATTCACTCTGCTAGACTCCGAAGGCCGCTAAGTGAAATCATTTTTCATTCCTTTCAGAACGATTGGAACTATATTGACGTATTTTAAGTGGGGTCTAGTGCAACCGTTGAAGATTAAGTGGAAAGTCCTGCCGTCGAACATATCAAAAATCGCGCTTCAACATTTTTAGTGCGTGATATGCTCGTAAGGCATTTTGTCCGTTAACTTAAGACTACAGATCATGGAGTACCAATGCTTCCAGATCTTTTTCAACCTGAGTTACTATTAAAGGTGAGTTGCCTGAGTTGTAGTTTTAGTCTGCAACATGTCTCAGATGGTCTACTTTAAACATTGGAGTGTTGAAGGTAAGTCCGTTTTCATCTGCCTAACTTTGAAGTCCAGTCAGATCTTCCTGAAGTGCCAGTATATCCTCCTGGTTGTAAACTTCTCTTCGCAGTTTCACATCACCAGTGAAAGGTTATAAATCAGACGACATCTGATGAGGGACATCGTTTACATAATTTAATTATAGCAGAGTTCCTAATACTGAAAACTGGGGCCCACCCAGAACATTCCGTAGCACAAGAAGAAGTGAAGTTAGACCTGAATTTGAAATTTTTATTATTTAGACATGATGTAATATATTTATAACAGGGCAAGTGCACACCATTTTTACAGGCATGGTTTATGGGTTAAAACATTGGTTCGCTTACAGCATCCGTAACACGTATGGCTGTTAAGAAATACACCAATAAAAATAAAAGGTGGCACATTCGTGTAGATGTCCCAGAGCGTCAGTGCTTCGGTTTGTTTTTCAGTTTCGCACTGAGTGCAGTGTTTAAAGTATTGCTCCGAAGTGCCATCACGTCCATGTTGCAAATCGGGTTCAATTTCGGCATTATTGTCTTAGAATTTTTTTCAAACTAGGTATTTATGCAATACAACTTTTTAAGTTCACAGTTGCTATGAAGTAAATTTATTAAGCGCTTGGTATGAGCTTTGATCTTGAAAAAGATGAGTACGCCAAGTAAGTTCCATGAGTCAAAAATTTCACGAATGTGTCCTTAGAGCAAGTTTCTGAAAAAAGAGAAACAAGGGAGCAGCAAGGCAATGGGATATAAATGTTAAACAATGTCTAACATTTTATAGTGAAACAAAAGGATGTGTGACAAATTAGTAGAATAAACCTATGATAGCTCTTTCATTATAGTGAAATGTGGTAAGAGCCTTCAGATAAGAGAATGCAGCAATAAAGAACAGTGAGTTGTTTTATTTAACAAGATGGAAGGAAATCCGAAGTTAGAATAAAAAAGAAACATTAATATCTGTTTTTTGTTGAATGATTTTTTTTAAAAATTTTCATGTGATGCCAGTCACAGGGCCCTAATGTAAAAGTTCGTGTTAGCACGTTATAGGTTGGTTGACAAAATAGCTAACCCAGCATAGGATCAAAAGCGTAGGTCTGAATAGTGAACTTCGGAGAACAAACCCAGTATCACTAATCGATTGACTGTGTCTCAATCATAAGGGCCTGATGTAAACAAGATGTTTTGCCCCACAATCATGAGTGAATTGAAGCCATCAACCTCACCATCAATGCTTGCTGATCGGTAACTCCACCCCCCCCTCCTTTTGTGATGTTAGGCTCAGTCAGCCTTTTTTGGATAAGTATTAGACCTCACACGATGCTCTGTGTTTCACATAATTTTGGGAAACTCCATTTCCATAAGTACCATTTTACAAGTTTATCAGGCAGTCACAAATAATTGACTGTATGTAAGACTACAATGAAATGCTGTAGATGACTATAGTACAAAGTATGGGTTGCATCAAGAAGGGTATAATGCAGGGCGCGTGTTTAAAAAAGTGGAATTAATCCTGAACTTAAAAGTTCGATTATTTAGATATGAAGTAAGCAAATCATTTAACGGTGGCTCAATACTTGAGCTATTTCATAATACGTAAATTATTGGCCCTAGTGAACGTTTTTGAGTAGTCAGAGTATATGACGTCAACCTTTAACTTAAGATCAAAGATAGTTGTCTACCGTGGTCAGCAAGTTGGTTATATAAAAGTGATTAATCCTGAAAGGATACTGTTTTGGGTAGAAAACGTTTATGAATTGTAAGTAGTCGTGTAAACCATCGCATATCAGGGACTTCATATATTTTGAAGGTATAGAGAGAAGGGCTGCAGGTCGTTAGCTTGAAGAATTGCTGTGTCAACTTCTTTTGAAGGTTGGTGTAGTGTGAGCTAGCTTGTACTTTTCCAGGACCGTGTCTCGGCTTGGCGAATGTGGCGACATCACACCAGGCACTTTTGCTATGATTGAAGCTACTTTCATGGGACTGCTGAAATATCTGAAAGTTCTGTTCTGCCAGGAGGTCAGCGGCGTCGCCTTCGTTGTTGGACGAGTCCTGTGGACCTGTAAGTGGGAAAAACCAGTTTTGGCTTGTTAAAGTGGGATGAGTGACAGAATATGTTTTTCAGATTGGTGATAAATTTGTATACTAACTAGATCTGATACTTAGGCCGATCCCCTCTCAATGCACTTGTGTATAGTTTCCTTGCTTCTTTGGTCTGCCTATATATGCATTTATATTCCGTCCAGTGATGTTTTTGTCTCCTAGTATTTGGATAGTGCGATTCTTTATGACAGTGGGTCGCTTGTAATTTTTAGAGGCCGTCCGTGATTAGTAATTAATAAAGTCGTATGCAGTAAGAAATTCAAATAGGTTTCCACGTTTAGTTGAGTTTGGGCCCCTTATCCCACCTTCTGTAGAATAACACGTTAGGCTGATACATTCCACCGTTTATAATTCCAATACCTGTTGTTAGTGGGATGTTTTGGCTCAGCTTTGTTGATAGAATTAGAGGTTATGATGACATGAACATCTTTGACCAAGTATGCCAGTATTGACAGGTCATCAATTAAGAGATACTTGTAAATATGCAGTCTGAGCGTAACGGCGTCCTATTATCTCTCCACTTAGCAGTTTATATATGACAGTATGGTATTAATATGTCACGCCATCGTGCTGTATGGGGTGAATGTTGTGACCTACGTTCTTTCTTATGCGCTGTTCAAGGAGATAATATAAGTTTTGAGATTTCGATGCGGTAATGTATGCAGTACGTTTCTCTGTTTGCTTAGGTCTCCTATGCTGACTTTACACTTCGTCAAGTATAGGGTATATCTGGAGCAGAACATTGAAGTTTTTTGATATACATTCCAACCCATATAGCTTTCGTAACTTAGCCCTAGTTGTTTGCTCGGTTTAAAGGGTTCTTGTTTCAAAAGCTATCCCGTGGGGACAGTATTGTCGAGGGTGGATTAAGCTGGGATCTTGACTATTTCTAGCATTTCTGAAGGCTTATAACTGGTAAAGAAACTACTCCAGTCAGAGTGATTATTAGAAATCGAAAGTTTCCCCAGTCAGTGTGTTTTAGATTTGTAACCTTTGGCATGAAACTGTAGAGTGAAGAAGACTGCATTATGACTTCCGTTATAAAGCTCTTTATCAACCACCATTGATTCGGGTGTGACATTGTGACAGAATATCAAGTCGAGGATATTATGATTTTGTATAAGTAAGTGTATATGTTGCTGCTAACTGCGTATGTCTAAGGGATTACGCACTCTTTTAAAGCCCAGTGGCCCTGATTGTGTCGTCCACTTGATCCTAGAAAGGTTGAAGGCGAAATCAAGGGGGGCAGCTTTATCAAATGACACACTTAAAGTTGTGCCAGTTAATCACAGCGGAAAAGCTTATTAGTTTCTATTTGAATGTATGAGTCTGTGACATTGGAGAACAACCAGCTTTCCGCTATCAAAACAAGTGAATAATTGTTTAAAAGTAACAAGGTACGCTGATGAGTCATTTTATCACGTACAAATAGAGCACTGATTAACATTAGTTTCAGGTACAGTGAGCATTTGTGTAATAGAAGTGCACCATGAAAACCTAGCGGGTTGTTTGTTTTGTCATGGGTAGAATAGAAAGGAGGAGTACAGGCTACATATGTTCCTTTGATTTATTATGTCAGAATGTATTAAGGATTTATATTACGTCAAAGCAGCACGTAACAGAAATGTTATACCAATCAAGCTGTTGTTAACATTACGTATTAACCTGGTTCGTACAACAACTGTGAGATCTTCGTCACCAGTCGCAATTCTTAAATAAATTGTTGTGCCCTGGTCTATTTTTTTATCTTATTACAATAGCATTGGACCCCAACAACAAGAATTTTGAAGCTGAGCATGTAATTACTGAAACCACTTATATTCAACAGTTGACACGAAGAGAAGGTTAACTGTGGAAATCGCGGGCACATGAACTCTATTCATCGGGTGGCATGGGTCGGCCTTGCAGGCGTGGTAATTCTTGTGTAAGTTATCTATTTTATTCATAATAAATATATTCTTCTGCTTCCAGCCTAAACATGTCCTGTAGAAGTAGGACGAGTCAGTGTAGACAATGATGTAACTTCCACGTAAGATCTTATAGATTAGGTAGTCATATCATAACAAATCTACAATTTTAGGTTTCGATCCACTATTAAAGCAGTACTAATAACGAAGTAGATCACAGTTCTAATGGTTCAAATGGTTCAAATGGTTGTGGACGGAATAGAAGGAGCTTTCGCTTAATAGGCTTCCGTATCTAGTAGCAGTAGACCACCAATACCTCCAGGCAAGAACTTAGGTATATTAACGATAAAAGAGAAAAAAAAGAAATTGGTAAATCATAGTAAAATACTATCTATAGTCCTTAAGAATAGATCAAGTCGCCTCTTAAAGGAATTCTGGCAAGGCAGTTGGACTAGCTCAACTGGCAGCGAATTCCATCATTTGACAACTCTTAAGGAGTAGAAAATGTGTCTGCAGTCCGTTCTACTATGTTGTATCTCTAGTTTCTGAATCTTACCCCTTTGGTTAGTGTTGGGACAAGCTTAAGTAGGTGTTTAAGAGGATGTCCAGGAGTGTTAAGGATACTGTAAGCCATTAGAAGGTCACCTCTAAGACGCCTATACTCCAATGGGTAAAGGTCAAGTGACTGGAGGCCCTCATCGTAATGTTTAAATTTGAGTCCCCGAATTGATTTCGTGGCTCGCCGTTTTATACGCTCCGGAGTGTCTTTATCCTTTTGGAGTGTAGGAGGGAATACTATGTTTCCGTACTCTAAACGGGGACGAGTGAAACTATTGAAGATTATGTGGAAATTTCTCCCGTCAAACTGACCAGAAATGTGCTTCAATGTTACCAGTGCAAGGTTTGCTCGAAAGGCATTTCTGTCACAGTTGGCGTAAGACTTTAAATCGTAGGGCACCAGAACTCCTAAATCTTTTTCGACTGGGGATACTACTAGGACATTCCAAAGCGTGTGACCTTAAATTGTCGATTTGTCAGATATGAACTGAGCCAGTCAATTAAAGGAGATTTGATACCCAATTGTTCGAGATTGTTAATAAGACAGATGTGGTTAACCCTATCAAAAGCTTTAGAGAAATCAAGGTAAATGATATCCACCTTTCCCTTGCGATCAATGATGCTTCTTCATCCGTCCACCGCGGTCAGCAGGTTCGTCATACAGGAGTAACCCTTCCTGAAACCATGCTACATTGTTTCTATAATCAGTTTTGGACTTTATAGCAGTGATTGGAATTCTTGGGAGTCATTCGTGTAGATCAATCCACAAAACTCCGCAGATGCTTCAATATCTCACCATATTTTTTCGCATGATTAGAACACCTCTCATTCTGTGTGGTCAGGTTAGAATGACTTTATCTTGTGAAAGCCATCTTCATAAATTTGCCAGCTACTTGTATCTGGTGTTTAAGTTTTTGCCGTTACATGACCAGAACAAAACCTCGTTACAATGACAGAAAAAAACATCCAATTAGCAGTGATCGGCTTATTTCTCCTTTGGAGGACGAAGAATATATTATGAGATTTAAGATCGAATTTCAGAGGGATGTGACATGTCCGGCCTTTGATAGCATTGGATTGGTTTGAAGCTTTTGTTGACTTCCTTTTAATGTTATGGCCTTTAATATTTGAAACATAGCTATATCTTATAAGCCGTCGTTTTAGAATAAAAGAAAAAATAAGAGGCGCAAGAATACTTGGGAAACTCTAGGGTTTATAATCTGCTAGTTGTGAAATTCACAACACAAAGTGATAGCGATCGGACCTTCTGATGATTCATTCAAACGAAATCAACTTGTCCGCGTGTGTATGGATTGGATCAGTTATGTAGGTAAATGATGAACAGTGGCATTATAGATCAGTGTTTTGTTTCCAACTGACAACTTGAGAAGATTGTTTTCTGAACAATAATAAAACGCAAAAAATCGATCATTCAATCATAATCTCGCGATAAAAGATGTTAGATATTGGATGTTGGAGAGACTAAAAACGGCGCGCTGTGCGATCCCGACATAATCTCATCGAATTTTCATTCAAAACCGGATACATTCACCTTTCAAATATCATTTAGGAACATTTGAAAACTTCTCAGAATACAAACTACATCGTCTGTTGCTGGCAAACAACCATAATAACACATCTGACAAACATAATCATACGAAAGTTGGGAAACTGTTCGCAGAGTATAGCAGCCCTGACTAGTTGCTCTCTCACAAGTTGCTTCAACTGCATCATATATTTATTTGCTTGCAAACACAGAACACGCAGATAACTTAGTGGATCTTCATTTTAATTGCCTTAGTACTTATAAACTTGTGTAGCATATATTCATTTACATATATACAATTTTTCACTCTTTACGTAGATTATTTCGGTAGGAGATATTTACAGATTATCTCCTTTCGTCTAGAATAGCGGCGAAATACCTGTAAAATACCTTTAAAATTCATTCTCATTATTCCCACAATGTCCAACCATGTATTTTGTCTTGTTCTTAGTCTGTTGTTTTATCTTGTATTACTTGTTACTACAGTCACCTGTTTAGTTACGTTCAGTGAAAAGTGTTTATCCATTGTTTTCTTCCCACCACGCGTTCGTAGCGGTACACTTCTAGCTTGAAGGTACTTTGTTCATGCATAGCACCATGCTGTAAATTATGGAGATATGGAAAAATAAAAAAACAAAGGAAAGGGTGAGTCGACTTCCTAGTAAGCACACATAACTCACATTTACTACGGAAAGCAGTAGACACCAGTCAGCAGCGACAAAAGCCTCGAATCAACACAATCTTGAAATTGAAAGGGTGAATCTATCCGCAACGCAACGTTTTACTACGCTACAACTTATTTTCTTAATTCTCACTTCACAACTCTGAATGCAGTCAAACAAAGACCAATTCAGAGATGTGACGGTTTCTTCTTTGAAATACAAGTGAACTCATGAAAAACTACTTATTCCCTCGTGTAATACAACAATATTCAAGTAATTTTATTATCCGCTCGACGATCCACAAGAAGAACTAAATAAACCTTAAGCTCGTTATTTACGCCAACATTTGAGAGCAAGAAACTAACTTTTTATTTTGACTGGTTGAGATTATTGTTTGTTTTCAATTATAATTTGTTGAGCTACACTAGAATTAAAAACAATTTATTCACCATATTTGTAGCGGGCTACTTAACGTTCATTAAGAAGTCATGAATTTCAAGTTCAAAGAGACTCACACCTTTGGTTTGTTGCTTTTAATTCTTCTACTTCTTCATAGAGCAAAGACAACAGGACTCCTCGAAGATCAAGGCCAAGTACCCTAATAGAGTTCCAGTAAGTCCCGAACAATGTAATGATTGAGTAATATTAACTTTCTGGGTGATTAAATTCTGTTTTTCAAGTTTAATGATTCTTCACAACTTTTATTTATCCTTCACATCAAATTTTTTTACTTGACGTTTTGTTACTTTATCGTTTTAAGATCCAGTTTTTCTTGATATTGGAATACGGGAAAGTTAGTCGTGCTATCACTCCACGTTTCTGAACTTTTCCGTTTGACTTTTAAACTTAAGTTGTGTATAGGTATAGAATAACTAGTAAGACTACAGTCTATGGACGACGTTTGAGCGACGCTAATGAGACCTTGAGGATGTTCAGTTACTACGGCTAAACGAGGGCTAAAATCCAGTGATAGGAATTAGGATTATTATTTGGTGATTAAGCTTAGGAATTATATTTCGGGCTTTCATCACGAACTGTCATCAGCTTTAATGCCAAAACTATCCAAATTGGTGAGTGAATTTCGCGACAAAATCCAAGATCTATATTTTATACGTGGTTCGCTTGTTTCGCCGAATAACTCTTAAGTCCAGTTTTCTACTATTCACTGTCTCCAAAAGTTGATGTTAGAAGTAAAATATCATTCGGCGCAATTAACTTTCATGGAGCACATTGGACAACCCAGTCATCTTTAGAAATAGTGTTTTAGTATTAGTGCCTAACTAATTCTTCAGTAATAAGGATTGGAGGTCTGTCGGTCCGTATTAATCCTTGCAGTTTGTAATACTGCGGAGGTCCAATCTTGTCTTGAATATGTCAACAGAAGGTGCTGATATTACGTGTGACGGTAGAGAATTCCAATAATTCACTACTCGAAGCGAGAAACGAAACTCCAGACGTAAACGATTTGATCTCGGTTTTTGGACTTTTTTCGAGTGTCCTCTCAAACGATCGGTCCTAGATGGAAGTAAAAGATAGTCCAGATAGACCTTGTACCATCTTAGTACCTCGTCGTTGGACTCGCTCTAGCATATCTGCTTCATACTTGGAACAAGGACTCGCTGCTTGAATCCCATATTCAGCGAGCCGTTACGATCATAATGAATCGTTGGTCATACCTCGTTAGTGATAGAAAACACTTTACTAAAATATTCCGATAAAGCTCCAGCTTTTTCGGTATCATTTTCTGCCAAGATTAACGGATTTTCTTGTATCAAAAGTGATGGAATTCCATCACTTCCCTGAGTTCTCCTTTTTATATACAAGAATAAACGTTTCGGACTATATCTAGAATCCCTAACCAATTGTTTTTCTTATGATCGTCTAGTCTTACTTATTAAGCTTTACAGGCATTCCTAGTCTTACAATCACTGGATCGGTATTGACCTAAGCCAGTAGCGATGAACATATTCCAGTGCTTCTTCCTCCTTCTTAGAAGTTTCTTAACTGGTTTAGTTTAGTTATCCATGGTGGACTATTATTAGGTCTTCGCGGTACCAGGTATGGTATGAAGGAGGACCGAGTGGTCTAAATATGAACGAGGACGTAACTAAACTAAACTTACCTTTAAATACAAACCATGCTTCTTCAACTGATAAGCTAGTATCTACAAACCAATCTGTCTTAGCAGCACATTCCTGAATTGCTAATATGTTAGCTTTCCATATATTTAGGCGGGGTGTGACCTGATCGTATAACATGTCTCTAGTTATAAACGAGAATTACAAAACAGCGTGATCACTGTTCCCTAACGGTGGAAGAATATTTAGGTCGACAATATCTTCAGTATCATGAGTGATTACCAAGTCCAACAGTGAAGAACCTTGGTTAGCACCAAAACGTGTAGGTTTGGATACATGCTGCACTAATGCATGCTCCATTATTGTTATCAGGAACCTACTATTTAAGGAGTTTATAGATCCTTCTGTGGTCATCTCAGTCCAACTAATGTCAGGTGCATTGAAGTCTCCTATTATCAAGCATCTGGTATTAGCACTCCAAAGATGAATGTGCTCTAAAATAAAGTCATCAGCAAAGCAGATTGGGCTGCGATAGATGACACCGAGCATAAATGTACTACATCCGATAGCCAATTTACAGCTAATGACTTCACAAGTACCGCTGTCATGGGATTCGCTAGCAGAGGAGCAGATATTTATATTATTGGCTATATATAACAGGACGCCACCTCCTTTTCAGCATCTATGTCTATCTCTCCTTAGGTAATGGTATCCGGATAATTCTGGAGTCATGGGCTAACCAAGTTTCTGTTACTGCTGCGATGAGTGGCCTTAATCTGTCCACTAATGCTTCTAGTTCGTAGAACTTATTTCTTAGACTACGAGCGTTGGCATATAAAACTCCTAGGTAGAACGGCCTATCCACACAGGCATTGGTAGCTTTCGCTTCCAAGACCTGACTATCCGAAAACCCACTAACCGGAGATTTTGCTCACCATTTTGTCGACGGGTTTCTAGTTCAGCTAGTGTGTGGCGCATATGTATTTTGGTTCCTCCCTGTACCTATACTTATGTGTTAAAATAAATAAATAATAATAAATAAGATGACTTCAAAAAAACTCATCAGTTTAGAAATTTTAGTGACTGAATGGGTACCAGTCATGTGTAAGTTCAGTTTTTATGGTTGTCTCCGGGTTACCCCACACACCGTTTACCTAGTTTTGACATCCTCATTACTTCACCGATTCAACCCATGTAACATATTTTTAGCAAACTGATAGAAACTCCATCTCTTGATCCAGGTCTCATTAAACTGAGCTATCAGACTTCAAATACCACATTAAAAGATGAATAAAAGCTGTTCGTTTCAAGTTACTAATTTACCATTGATATTTATCGAAAGCTTAGTTAAAACAAATTTTCGCAGATGTATTTTGATCCATTTCCATGAAATCGGTTCCTTGAGTAGCTTGTGAAATCAACACATTTTTTCTGCCGATATTGAGTTCTTTGGTCTGACAGAGTTAACTGCCAAGTTTTCGCTATCGTTTTGGTCAATATCGTCAGCGTTCTGACTACTGTTTTCAGTCGGTTTTCTCCATGATTTTTATTGTTTTCATATGTTATATTCTAGTTGACTTTCATGTTTATTAAACTTGTAACTTTTCGAATGATTAACTTCTTATATGTGGGTGAATAAATAGGGTCTGTGTATTTATCTTGATTGGTAATTGATCTTAGTGCTTCGCTCCCTGAAAATTTCTGATATTGATGAAGTCTCTGATCCAGAATTTACTGTTATTTTTCATCGATTAGCGACATAAAATCTGGCACACATGCATGGACTCGAATTACTGCACGACATTAAGATAGTGAGATAAAATTATCGTGATAAATCCCAGAGTATCAAAAGTAGGGACAGCACCAGCAGTACTGTACAAGATTAGACGTAGATATTATTCAAAACAATGAGTCCTTTAAAAAACAAGGTAATTTAGGTTTGTGTTCGACCTCATTCATTGATATGAAAGAAAGCATATCATTCCTTTTTCACTGCTAATCTGTATAATTATATAAGTGAACAAAGCATTCACTGCCCAATATAATACTTTGTGGTTGGTACAGATTTTTATGTTAACAGTGTTCCATGTTTTTTCTGTTGCGTCTTCTGGTCTGCATAAAATAGAATGAAATGATGGTTATTGGCATGTGGGCAACATTGAATTCGAATTGCGCTAAAATCCGTATGGTAATTTCTGAAACGTTTATGTACATATATATATAGGACAATCTAGTTTTTGGTGTTCAGAGGCGAGTAACTTATTTATGGGAAGTGAAAATTGATTTTCAACTTTTTGAAAATTGAGATGGCAGTGAATCTCGGCTCTTCTAAGTAGTCTCTACACTTTTTGTGCACTGTTGATTTGTTGACGTACTTTAAAATTTGATCTATGGTTTGGTTTCCTTCATATGTATTTAAACGTTCCTGTATTTGTTTTTCTAAAATAACCAACAATTTCTAATTGCACTTTTTTTGAACAGAAAATGTTTAATCTGTGTAGCATGTTCATATTTTAGTTTGATTTTCAGTAGGACTGTAACGTCGTAATTTTTCAACAACTGTTTCAGCGATGAGCACTTATATACATAATTCTAATAGGTTCCCTTAATCAGTTCATATGTTTGACCAATAAATTTAAAATGCGTAATACACAAGTCTGTTAGCTCTAACAAGCCCAACCATTGCATTTCTGTATATTTAGAGAGTTGTTTGTTGTTTATTTATTTAGACATCCTACTTATCCACCAACACTGTTAAAGCTCCGGACTTTCACTTTTCATCCTCTCAATTTCGTAAACAGCACCCCCGCCACGAGACGGCAGTGAGTAGGACTTCCCTGGCAGCAGTTGTATACGCGTGGCTATGCGAGAGAATTTCTAGAGGGAGAGCTGACCCTCCACACCCTCGACCATGTCAGGGCATTTGGGGGTCATAGTGTCTGTATCTAATTTCATTTTACATTGTTATATAACGCACATCGACAATGTAACCATGTTGAGGTCTGAAGTGGCCTAGTCAGACGTGACAATAAACCATGATTCACAGTTCATACGCTTGACATCCGGGACTACATATCTTCCCGTTAGTTTTCAAAGGTTTGAAACTTTAAGTGATGTAGTTTTAAAAATGATCACAAAGGCAGAAAAACCTCATGCAGTTCTTCAAATCTTTAATACTCTACATCTTTCGAGGTTTACGTAGCTACGTCACTATTCATATATATATCACATATTTTTTCAATCATTTTTTTATCAGGTCATTTTAAAGTTCAGCTCTGTATTCTATCTGCAATTGACTTAATTAGGATGTAGATGCCTTTTATAGGATTCTTTTAGAATGTTACGAAGTGTACACCAAGGCTGTATTGAGTTTTAACTCTGTTTGTAGGAAATTATTGCGCAACTTAGAGCAAATACGTGTCACTTTTGAACTCGCTTTCAATCTTTTTTACAGGTTGTCGTGGAACGTCATCGCCATTCGCAAATACCCGATATTGACAAACATAAGTTTCTTGTTCCGGACGATGTGACAGTTGCTCAGTTTATGTGGATCATTCGAAAACGTATTGATATCTCATCAGAAAAAGCCCTCTTTCTTTTTGTTGAGAAGAATATGCCACAAACAAGGTATATTAATCGATTTACGAGTTGACTCACTTTTTAATGTTCTTTTTTACATAAGATATTTTAATCAAATATTTTTGACTTGATATACGCATTAATTGTTGGCCTGAGAGACATTTAAATTCCTATGGATAATCCGCAATTAATCTAATATCTTTAACGCCTTTTAGATTGGACAACAGTGGTACCACTTGACATAAAATACAAACGCTTGTTCAGGTAGTAACATACTCAAGCAAGAAGTGTTACTGCATTCAGGTAAAAAAATTCACAAACTAACACCAGCCGAAAAGCTAAAGTATAAACTGTTTATTTAAACTACTTAAGCTCATTCGGGTTCATATCAGCGTTAAAGAAAAAGTTATAATTTGATATTCAGAATCAATCCGTAATTTATTGTCAAAGTAGGACCTTGGGAATCATGTTTATCTATAAGTTTCAATACTCTATGTCAGTATAGGGAGTGGGAAAATCAAAAAAGCAAATACGAGGAACTAACTTCTATCACAATTGAAATCTACGTACGAAAGTACAATTCAAAAAAACAAATGAGATTAAATAATGAAAAGTTAAGATTGACACTTAACTCACCATTCAGCCAGTCTTTTTCTTATAATAATAATTTTTGGATACAACCAGTGTTTCAATTTTAATTAGTAACACTAACAAATAAATAGATGTTAATATAAATTATTTTGACACTGATTCCACCGTATGTACAATGTGAAATGTCCTACAAACCACTAGTAAAATAAGGGAAGTGCGAGTAGGTGCAACAGAACAATCAAAAGTCACATGAAAAATATTCAACAGAGGATAAAAAAAGCTTAGTCACTATTGCGTGTAGATTCGGACTTAAGATACAATTGATAAATTCAGAAAATTTGAATCTCTACTAAAATATGTAAGTCGAACATATTCTGGGTATCACTTTCAGGCAAGTTACACAGAACTACAAAAATGGTAACAAAATAAAGTAGAAATTTTGTCTGGAATAGCTGGGATAGTTTCTTCCCTCCTTAATGCAATAGATTTCAATGCTCGTCGTTATGTATTTTAAAACAAGATATAACCGATATAGTTTAGATGTTAAGTTTAGTTTCGTTATATCTGTAAGTAATTACTTCATGTAATCTGAACACCCAAATATTTGTATGGCTTCACCTCATTGTGTATAATCCCGATAAGTTATTTATCTACATATTTTAATTTCAAGCTTTTATTTATGAGTGTCGCAGTTGAATGGATGTCTACGTTTTATTGTGTTGAATATAATTGGAACATCTTGACGGGGGGCAGAATAAATTTTTCTGTTATATTTTGTTATGCTTTGTTCTTCATCGTAGTTGGGATCGAAATGTGAAATACTTATACACTATATTCGAAGATGCGTTTCTAATATTTCAGACTTTTCTCTAAATTATACTGTGATTTCCATTCATTTCTTTTAATCATTTTAGTGCCACAATAGGTCAACTGTATCATAACTTTCACGATGATGATGGTTTTCTATACATAAGCTACAGTGGGGAGAATTCTTTCGGCTCCGGTTCATAGCTTTATATTTTCGAAACAAGATATTTTTCTGTACTTGTGAAAATGAATGTTTAGTTCAATATGAATATACATAAATTATTTTCAACTTACGTTTGCTAACTTTAAATAGTTTCTTTTTTTCATCTATCCTCCGAACCAACAGTGTTTACCAATTATGTGTTTTTTTTAGTGAGCTTGGAAGTTTTTTCCTGTTTACCTTCCGATTTGTTGACCTTTCTGCCACTTTTGTCAGATTTATTCATATATTATATCGGTTTTCAGTTCAGCGGTTGTGCACAAATGTGTTGTTGTTTAAGAAATCTAAGCACAATGGGCTTTGATCCGAATCAATAACTAATGTTATTCCTGTTTTGTATGTAATGCTCATTATTAGTATGGGATTTCGCATTGCTTACTGTTTTTTTGTTGTCGTCCAATAAGTGATATTCTAATTATGTTATATTTTTAGATTTTCTTGTTTCTCTGTGTTTAACTGCTATTTTTATTCTGTGTATATTGTTTATGCATTTTAGCAATATTTGATTGTATTGTTTAATTTTCTCACTACTAAGCTACATAAACAGGTGATTATTTATTTTAATTTTTATCTGTAAATACACCTGGATTATGCTAACTACTACTTGTTTCTCACAATTAATTAGATTAATTATATTATATGGTTCTCATGAAATTAGCGGCCGTTTGATCAATGGGACTTTCGTCTAGGAAGTATTAAAGAGCACATTGAAAATTTAGCAAGTAGGCTGTTTGGTCAAGTGAGTTGACTGTTTAAATTACGCTGAGCCACACTTCGTACAGATCGCTTGCATTGAAGAAAGTTGTGGGCAAACCGATTTCAGTTCACTTTACCTGTTAATACTCTACATGTAGCACACAAAATACTGGATTATCCACCCAAAGGAGTCTTTGCTTCTGTGTTGCCGAAGAATTCGGTTAGTGTATAAGATGACGCCGTTTAGTGTATGGTTTTTTAAATAGACTGTCTTAGGTGGAAAAATAAATAATTAATAGCTTCACCATGCGTGTTCATGTTCTTTGGTATAGGCGAATTAAGGTATATCTATTTATATTTGAAGTGTGCATTTTACCCATAAGGTCATATAGTTTAAATTTTAGTAATGATGAATTAAACTACCGCTAATAAAATAAACTCAACAAATAAAAACGACGAATAGAAGAGATCACCGATGTTCATTGAGTTTTATTTTTGGTTTATACAATATTAGCTAATTTAACTAAATTATTCTACCCATTAAGTCAAGAGCATCACAAAACATATCCACTAACAAAAACCCAAATTATTCTTAGTGAACTCAAATCAAGTTACCAGTGTGTTAAGTTGTGAATTTTACATTAATCAATAACTTATACGTATTTTCATTTAAAGTTGTATATGTAAATCTAATAGTACAGTGTCGTGTTACAGTCCATGAGTTTGTATATAACATTGGTTAACTCGTCAGTCAAACGACATTCAGCTGAGTTTAGTGTTTTTATATTCTTTCATTACACTTCACAAGTCGAATGTAAACATAAGATTTAGATTGTCAATTGTATTATAATATAGTAATGCCTTTCTCGGATTTCGATAATCTTAATCTAAATATCATTTGCTCCAAATAGGTGTTAATCTATTCCTGTCGTGAATTACACATGTATATTTGTTTAGAAGAAAAAAAACTTGATTCTTCAAAATCGGTTGATTTACAGTTATAACAAAGGTGCATACTACATTGTAACATCTGCATTCCACCAATTAGTTTTACAGAATTCGATCACTTCACAACACATTATTTGTTTGACTGGCATTCAACACAAACCAGTATTGACCTAAAAAATATCAAACGTCAACTCGGTGTACTTTTGTTTGTTATTGGATAAAACCTCAATCTTATATTAACAGGCAATCAAAACGATGGTTGATAACGTAATTGAGTATTATTTGATTCTTCAGTATGACTTGATATGTCTTACTCCTTGAAGCTTCCATATTACTTCACTGCGATTAAATCTAATAATTAACTTCCTCTTGAATAAGTCTTAAATAGAAATTTATACACGATGAGAGGTCGACTGTGGTTATAATACCTCAGTGATAAGGTTGTGAACTACACTAATTATTGATATTCACATCTAATTGAATTGTTTAGAGGTTTTAAGTATTTTCCATTAATGTGTAAATCTAAGAGGAAACACAGACCCAATACTTCTTCATTATGACTGTAAATCAGTTTACAGACTTCATGTAAATAACGTGTAATCTGTTTTTAAGATGTAATGAATGAATTAAGGATCTGCTTTCTGGATTCATCTATATTTATTCTGAGTGACAAAATATAAAACAGGTTAATAATTGCTTATTATTGATAATTAGAATTTGGTAAGTATCTAGAGTTGACTACAGTAAAATAAGATAGTGTTAAAGCTAGTACATTCAAATGTAAATAGACTCTATAGAAGTAATATTCCGTCACTTCTTATACAGTAGAACGTTCATTCAGTAGTCCTCTTCGATTCGAATTCAATTTGTGAGAAAATCGAACCTTAAAATTGTATCTGTGATTCAGTCTACTCTGAATTCATAAAGAAAATGAGGGGAGGTTTGTGTGGATTGCCTTAGTTTTTTTGGCTGCGTTATGCACAGGTTGATCTCTGCTAAAGTATCATTGGAGTCCATGGACCATTGAACAATTCCTTCATCCTAGTACGCGACTACTTGACAATGAAGATTTACAAGTCCACCACAAGTCGAATTCATCAGATTCAACTCTCTCAACGAATAGTTATCCAGTAGATCCACTAAGTCAGAATTCAATACCGAAATCTCAACTCCAATCAATTCATGATAGAATACGATGGTCATCGAGTGACACTGATGATAACTTCTTGACTATCGACGTACCTGAACCTCATCAATCATTATTTCTCACAATAACTTCAAGAATTTCTTGAAGTAACTCACTGACAATCTGAGTATTACACTTTAGTAGAAGTGATATTGTGGAAAATGATATGAATTTGTAGGTTGGATTCATGACAGAATAATCTCAGGTGATTAATTATAATAAACTTATTATATGAGAATCTATGTTAAATATCAGCTGAAATAACTGCATACGTGCATGTGTCAATTCATTTACGGTTGTTTTAGTTTTAAACAGTTTCATTGATTTGTTTTTTTTGGGGGGAGGGTTTAAGAAAATGATTGGATCACAAGATTTATACACATATTTACTTCCCTAATTTCATAATCGTATTAAAAAAACTGCAGAAATATAACTACACAGGTTTTTACTTTATTACTACTATATTATATGTGAAATCCAAATCAAGTGGTAGAACAAACAAATTCATAAAAAGTCACTTCCGTCCACAGTTTTTTTTTCGAAAAGAAAAAAAAGAATCAATCAGCGTATACATTCAAGTTCACATCCATGGTTGGTTGGATATAGTAGACATAACAATTAGTGAAAAAAAGAAACCATATGAAAGATCACACGTAATTAGCAGTAGTCATACATACAAACAAATCCATAAATGATATGTGATTTATTTTCGATGTTGAGCTTAGTTCCAATATAAGAAAAAAAAATTAAGAACTGCGTTTGTTTACACTGTTTTTTGAACCGATAAGAAATAGGTATATTATAAGAGTAACTGTTTTGACCTACATTATTTTTCATAAATAAGTGAAGATAAACTTCGTAATGGATTGAAATCAGATGATGAAAACAGGAAATGCTGATCAGCTAAGATTTTATAGGTTAGTGATAAATTGGGGAATTATTGGATAATTAACATATGAACACATATTATATTTCTAGGCATCAGTAACGTACAATTGTTTAATCGGTATGAACTACAAAAGAACAAGAGATTAAATTGTGTTGTCTATGTAAACAACAAGACTGAGCGTTAGTAATCATCAATAACTTGTCTAGAAATCAATCAATAAGAAACTGAATATTTACGGCTAATACAATTATTCAAATAAGTAATAACAATCATGATACAGGAAAGCAAATTCCTTTGTTTCATATAATCGATACCACAATCAAGGACACATACAATTAACGGAATCTTATACTCTCGAGTTCACATCAGTAGAATAAGTGTTTGCAGAATTAAAAAAGAATAAACCAAGAGTCTAACACCCCCTGTTGTTTAAAAGTTATGTATGAATCGATTCAGTTAATTGTAAACATGTAATATAATCATAAACACAAATCTACTTCACTACAATTTATCTTTTTCCTTTCAAACCTCTACACAGAGTTAAAAGTAAATTAAAAACATTATCTGGATCAGAGTGTCGCTATGAATAACATCAGAAGTAATGAACCACATGAAGTAGATACTAATGGGAATCATAAGCAAAACATGAATAAGTACATCCACGAGGTAGTAAACAAATGGTAAAGACAAATATACAAGCATTTAAATGGTCTTCCTACATAGTGATCCAGTTAATACTATCAAAGAAGAGTTTCTGTTGACAGTTTAAGTATTAGCAGAGATCAACCTGTGAATAAAGCAGCCAAAAAAACTAAGGCAATCCACACAAACCTCCCCTCATTTTCTTTATGAATTCAGAGTAGACTGAATCACAGATACAATTTTAAGGTTCGATTTTCTCACAAATTGAATTCGAATCGAAGAGGACTACTGAATGAACGTTCTACTGTATAAGAAGTGACGGAATATTACTTCTATAGAGTCTATTTACATTTGAATGTACTAGCTTTAACACTATCTTATTTTACTGTAGTCAACTCTAGATACTTACCAAATTCTAATTATCAATAATAAGCAATTATTAACCTGTTTTATATTTTGTCACTCAGAATAAATATAGATGAATCCAGAAAGCAGATCCTTAATTCATTCATTACATCTTAAAAACAGATTACACGTTATTTACATGAAGTCTGTAAACTGATTTACAGTCATAATGAAGAAGTATTGGGTCTGTGTTTCCTCTTAGATTTACACATTAATGGAAAATACTTAAAACCTCTAAACAATTCAATTAGATGTGAATATCAATAATTAGTGTAGTTCACAACCTTATCACTGAGGTATTATAACCACAGTCGACCTCTCATCGTGTATAAATTTCTATTTAAGACTTATTCAAGAGGAAGTTAATTATTAGATTTAATCGCAGTGAAGTAATATGGAAGCTTCAAGGAGTAAGACATATCAAGTCATACTGAAGAATCAAATAATACTCAATTACGTTATCAACCATCGTTTTGATTGCCTGTTAATATAAGATTGAGGTTTTATCCAATAACAAACAAAAGTACACCGAGTTGACGTTTGATATTTTTTAGGTCAATACTGGTTTGTGTTGAATGCCAGTCAAACAAATAATGTGTTGTGAAGTGATCGAATTCTGTAAAACTAATTGGTGGAATGCAGATGTTACAATGTAGTATGCACCTTTGTTATAACTGTAAATCAACCGATTTTGAAGAATCAAGTTCTTTTTTTCTTCTAAACAAGTCTATGCAGGAATTATATATGTATTAACTCAATTGATTTGATTATGAAAACACATGCTAAGAGAAAACAGCTATTTTGTACATCTCAGCTTTCAATGATTGTT